GCACAATAACTTACTCTTAATAGCTATACACTGCAAAATAAATTGGCATGTAGCACAGCAGCACGTACAAGCACCACAAGCAGAAAACAGAGTGAAAAGATAGAGGACGAAGAAACAGCGGTCACGTTCAAGTCGGTCCTAGAGTGTCAGGGAGAGTTTTTCATATGGCTTAGTCCTGAACAGTCTTTGGCCCTCATCGCCTCCCACGGGTTGCCATTCAGTCTGAGACTGTCCTCAATTTAATAACGACTCTCCAACAAAGGATTTTAAATAAAGGGACAAGCTTTACACACACTCAATACATGTGCTGTTTTAAGTCAATTGAAATGCAGAGTAAAAAGAAAGTAATATACATTTTTTATGATAAAGGCACAATTACAACTGAATTGTATTAAAATAATGACAACAATAAATCAATTCAAAACAAAGTCACATTCTTATTCACTTGTTTGTGTAAATGTCAACCCACAGTATGTTGAGTCCACTCTGTGAACAGGATGAGTCAATCCATCACATGGCTGTCTTTAAAATCACATGTGCAAACCTGCAGGAGCAGAGCTGCGTATCGCTGCGTACTGCTGCTGCTGCTGCTGCACGAATCACATTGGAAAACCAGGTTGTTTGCCATTTTGCCTGAAAGCCTGAGGAGAAGTCAGATTGGTTGTTGTTTAAGTTATTGACAACAAGAGTGCAAAGAATAAGAAAGATCAAAGTAAAGTGAAATCAAAACCCTATGACAAATTCAACAGATTTTTATTTCTGCTCCTCTTTCCTTCCTGCTGCTTTCCAGCCTGCAGGTGGAGCTACGCTGAGCTTTATGTGTGCATCTGCATCCATGTATTTATGATGAGCATTTAACTACTAAGTTAGTCCTTTTTCCCCCTTTTTTTAAATCTCAGACTGACTATTTATCCTCTTGTTTGTTATCAGGTTCAGATAATACAATAAAGGACTGAAAAAAACTTTTTTTAAAGCAAATAATTTGTGGTTTAGAGCTAGGCAATGTCATGCTTGGCAGAAAACAAGGCTCTAGCAAACAAAAATATTGATACGAATAAAAGTAAAGATCCCTCAGAGCAATCTTTTTATACAGTAATACAATTATAGACATACTCATAACAATACATTGATTTGATTTGTAATCAACTCTTTTTTTCTATATTTATTCAAAATAAATTTTGAGTATTTTGACACAGTTATGTACATAAGTGCAAACAAGGTGAACATCACACATTCGTATACACCTCAGAAAGGATCGACATCACCCAGCACAGCTGGGCACAAAGAGACCTCTGAACCACTTCCTGTCTGAAACTGAAACAGAGGAGCTCGCTCCGCTCGGCCTCCACACACACACTCTGAGGAGGAGGTGAACATGAGCATCGCTGACAAGTTTGATTTTTACTGAAAAAGATGAAGATCTTTCAATGAATCCAAAAGCCTCTTTACCTTCCTGACAGATAGGTGTCTGCTTTAAAAGTCCATTCTTATTCCTCAAAACACCATGTATAAGAACAAAAACAATTAAGGTCAAAAGAACAAAACAAAATAAACACCTGATCTCCCCTAAGGACCTTTGGATATTACAAGGATTTAAGTTTTCATACAAAATATTTAATCACGCTGCGATAACAAGACAAACTAATTAGACATTCCCTTTTTGAATAAGTTAGTGATGTATGCTATTTCAATTAATGTGAAAAACAAAATCCCAAGAAGGATGATAGAAAGGTAGCCATGTTGTCATGTTGTTGTCATAGCAACAATTACCATAAACAATGACTCCATCATTGTATACAAATGACTTAATTTTATATATGTTCTTTGTTGGTCTACACAAAGTATTAACTATGTATAAATGAGTTTTATTCCATGCTGTTTTTTTTTTTTAAATGTCGGGTTAAAAAAAAGCTTAACTTTCCATTAATACATGTCACTCTCATACAGCTATCACATCTTTATACAGCGATCAAGAAGTAAGGCCCTGTGTGCCCCGGGCCACAGAAAAAATGCTCAGGACCAAAGAAACAATCCACATGCTAAAAGATCTGTTCACTGGACACAACGATCAGAGCGTTTAGCATTTTCAGGAGTTATGATTCATGACTGAAAAAAGAAAGGGCCTAAAATAGAATAATATAAACATTGGAACAAGGGAAAGAGATAATAACAGAGTTCTCATGCCACACCATAATTCATTTAACACACTCTTGTGCATTAACAAGAGGCACGATTTCTTAATCAAGTATTCTGTTGTTTTCCAGCTGGATGAGTGAAGGCATACTGATGTGAGGGGATGTGTTCGGCTGGACAAAGCTAGTATTTAAAAACTTTAAGATTTAGACAAACTAAATTGTCTGGACATTCAAATCATTAATATTATTGAGTAGGAGATAATTATTTATTTTCAAAGAGTTGAGAAGATGTAGCTGTTCAACACACTCAAGAACAGGGGTAGAAGAGAAGTGGTTTACCTTTAGTTTGATCCACCATATGGTTAAAGGACATAAATGGTTGTTTCAATAGAAGCTTCAGAATTTTCGGAAATATGTTATTCACTTTCTCTAAGAGGTTTTAGATAAGAAGATTGATGTCAAACTCATGTCTGTGCGGTAAATAAGAGTCTTGAACCAGGAGAAAGGTTGCTTAGCTTAGCATAGCGACTGAAACAAGGGGGAACGCTAGCCAACTCTGTTCAAGTAGAGCTAGCAATAAATTGTCAAATGTTAGCTTGGAGAGGAAGTATTTTCTTTGTCTTTATAACGACCAATAAGTGATAAGAAATTGCAGTACAGAAAATGACGCATTTCAAACTTTGTCATACTTTATGCTAAACTGCTAGCTTCATAGCTATCAATCTGGGTATAGCAGTTCTTCTCATGGACTTGGAAAGAAAGCAGATAAGCACACTGTTATTCTAAGTGACACATTTTTTCAAATTCAACATGAACTTAAGATACAGTTGAAGTATCTAAGTATGCTAAGGTTGTGTTTCAGGTCGATATTCACTCAAGGGGAGAAATCATCCACTCAACCCAATGGGAGCGGTGCCTCCACGTTTCCCCCATTGAACACCGTAGCTAGTGTTAATGGCGGGAGGCGGGTGAGGGATTAGACCAGGGGTGTCCAAACTTTTTTCACCGAGGGCCACATACAGACAAATATACGAAGGGCTGGGCCACTCACTAGAGGTATATTGCCTCATAAGTTCAGTTATAAATTAGCAAGATCAATCAAATGTATGTAAATGATGCTTGTTAGTGTTGGCAGCTCATCCCTTAAAACAGAAGCCTCAGATTGATTATAATAAGGAGAAATATGAAAGGGTGTATTTCAAGCTTGTTATGTAAATAAGTCATTGGGCTTTTTTCTTTTTATTTGTTAGAAAATGTAATTGATGGAATTTATTTGAAAAGTGGTCTTATTAACACATGAATACTACTTGTAGGAGCCTAAATGCTACCTAGCCTGAGTTTATTATTTGTATTATTATTATTTAATATATTTTTACATTTATATTTCAGAGGTACAATATAAGACAAGCACAAGTTTCATTTGTGGGCCATATTCCATTATACTTTTTTAATTAGCTGAGGGCCGATTCAAAATGGTGGGCAGCATTTGGCCCTCGGGCCGTAGTTTGGACACCCCTGGATTAGACCTTTGTCGCAGGATTCATACTGGATGTTTTCTATACGCTATTACTTATACAATCTTCCCAGTTAAAGAAATGCTATAAAGAAGGTTCCCCCGCGATTATACCGTTGTTTACAGGTGCATTTTGGGCACTTTGGGATCTTTAGGGTTAACTGACGGTTAGAAATGGTACTGTAATGTACCTGTACACTTCTGCTCTACTTTGAGTGAAAGATATTTCTTAAAGTAGTCACACCATCAATTGACATTAAATATAAATCTATATAACAATACACATACTTTAATATGTCCGAACAAAGTATCAGCATGGTAACTATGTGACCTCAGAAATATATAGAGTGAATCGTTACATTTCAACATGCCCGTTATTTGGAAGGGCGTGTGTAGAGTTTTTGCATTAGATACATTCACGACACAATAACATTATTTAAAATGAAAAATGTTCAGTGGGAAATGCCGTAATATCTGCAGCACTTACAACTAATCATATGGAATCATATGTCTCTCTCTGTTTCAACACACTTAAAGGTGGGGTAGGTAATTTTGGAGAAACCAGCTCGAGTGCGCTAGAATTTGAAAATACACAGCCGGAGAAAATCTGCCACTTCCTTACAGAGCCCCTCCTCCAACACACACGAACGCGCACATGACCAATGAGGGCACGAGATACGTTTGTGCACAGATGGAAGGCTGACAGGCAGGTAGGCCATCCAGTTATTTTAGCCGGGCCGGCTAAAATGATTGGTCGTGCTTTTTACAGTATTACGGCTTCCACAGATGACATTTTTTTATGGATTTTTGTCAAAGCACTTAAGATATTCATTGCTATCGGGATGTTAAGAGCATTCCATGGAATATAACAAAAAGTGTATCTCGAGCCGGTTTCTCAAACTTACCTACCCCACCTTTAAGTATGCACAAAACTCACAGATCAATATCTTTACATAAACATAATAAGACAGCACAGCTATCTCAGAGAGTAAACTAGTACAGATGTGATTTACTGTTATCATAATGTACCAATTAACACATCTATATTTGAGCACTGGTCTGTTCTTACAGTGTATTGACAGTGGTGGTTTGAGGAGACTTAAGAGAGGCACATTTTAATTTGGATAAAAGTGATTTCAGGCTGTTTTCCAGAGCCGTTTCTTTCAATTATTTGCACCTAAAGCAATTTACTTACAGACATGTGCAAACCAAAAACTTGCTTCTCTTTTTTTATCATCAGACATCAAACGTGGTGATTCTTTTCCTCCATTTCCTGACTTTACCTAACAATTCTCCTAGCTTTGGCTGCAATATTCAGAGTCTGACTACTTCTGACAGAAAGGACACATCAGTAGAAAAGACGACATTTATAAAGTGAGACAGGACATTTTCAAGTTCTAAGCTTTCTCCCTGAAGTGAGTTAGAGAGGGAAACATTCATTTAGAGCAATTACGCAGGTATTGCACTAAATGGGGGCAGCTCAACCACCACTTGGCACACATCATTTAGGCACAACATCAGGAAACAAATCCAGCTCCCATCTTGTGCAATAACTCTCACATCAGGTTTGAAAGTTTACAAAGAAGTGCCAATTATACCAGTCTTTAACCTTAGATGTATGCTTTTGTCTTACATACTCTGATTTCATGCGAGTTTGACACAGGAAATCTGGGGTTGTGTCTGAGACTCACTGGCTGCAGATTGTCATTCTTTTAAACCATGTTTGAGATCAAACCATGGAGGAAAGCGGGCCAAACAAAGCTTCCCTTTCAGTTATTAAACAATTACCCATCACAGTCACGACTGAAGATACTGCAGCACTTAATAAAAACCGTTTTAAAAACCTCATCTGCTTTTAAGGCAGTTTGTTCTTAGATCAAGAAATGAAGAGCCATAATCTTAAATATCTCCCAATCAGCTCCTTGAGTATCGAAGTGATTGCCTCCTATTAAAATGTCAAATCTTGTGTTTTTTTTAAGGTTACTTTGCATTAAGAGTAAAGCCTCATTTGCAGCTGTTATACAGTTAGTACCAGATACTGACTGTGAAACCAGGGGGATACAAATCATACTTATTGATCATAAACAATATGAATTTAAAGTTGCAATTAATATAATTCCCTTACATTTTCTTGCTATAGGTTGATACGTATTGTAACCACTGTAATTGTCTTCATTTGCGATACCTTTCAATGTATGTTGGATCTAAGTCTCCTCTGCAGCTGAGCAGATAAATCAAAGGCACAACAAATGAACAACAATTTGGTGTTCCTTCAGGCGAGATGAGAACTAAATGAAACATGATACAACACAAACGTCACATGTGTAGCCATCTTGAAACGTAAACATGATATGATATGAAACACTCTTTCATTTTGACAACACTCTCTGGATTTAGACCAGCGGCAGGTCCATTTGTCACTTTCATTTCCAGAATAAGCTTTTTAAAGTTTTTGACTTTGGGACAGTCAGAGTCAGGGGTCGCCTCATTTGATGGCTCCAACCCATGTGTGTGTTTGTGTGTGTGTGTGTGTGCGCGCGTGTGCGTGCGTGTGTGTGTGTGTGTTGCACTTTTAAGGTGTGTATGTGTATGGCTGTAAGAACGAGGGAGCTCTATTGCTCAGCCTGATCGAGTCAGTGTACAACAGTATCACGTCCAGGCTTGTATTGCGTCAACATTCGCAGCTTTCTGACGTTCACAATAAGACGTTTCTCACTCTGTAGGAGAGGCACATGTTTGCTGCATTCAGGAAAGATGGCCGCCCTGGTAGTGCACAGGTTTGGGACTTTAACTGGGGTTTCGGGAAAGGCTTACTGAGTTTAGCGCCACCGGAGCCGCCATCAGCAGTTTGGGGACGGGACAGAAATGGGTTTCCATGGGAACGCACTGGAGCTCCACTGGATCCGGAGTCAGGAGCTCGGAGGCGTCTACTGCAGGAGAGACAGAGACTCAGTTAATATTTGTAATGTTTAGCCAGTTTCATTACAATGTTTGTGCACTTTTATGTATTTTGAAAAGCCTCCAGCTGCAATTACATTATAGTTTTAAAAAACTGACAAATGACTTATTAAAAAACAAAATATCATTGTTATGATTTCATATTTGGGACATTGCAGGTACAAAAAACCTGTAGTCAAGGAGCCGTAAGATTGTATTTCAGAAAAAAATAAGTCATAATTTACGAAAACATGGACATTTTGTGTGAGATTATAACACCATACATGACGAAAAGAAAAAGGAAAAAGAAAAAAATCCCATATTGCTGCACTTCATAAGGATTGGGTCAACTTCTTCACACCAATGTCTCAGTAAAAAACAGCCCTATACTGCCGTCATACTTTTTTAATCCAGGTTTAAAAAAATGTGGCACTGGTATTGGATTGGTGGTTTACAACTCCTTAGAGAAAATATAAACCATAAAAACATATGATGAATTGAAAAGTATATATACAAGTGGCAACAATATTTTTCAGATGTTGCTCAGCCATAGACAAACGCTATATCTCCTTAATGGTTGGAGAACTTTTGCATAGTAATGTGTTTTTGTGATAGAAAGCACATTGACACTGTATCTAAGGGGAATTCACAAAAAGTAAAAGCATTTAAATGATAGCAGGGTTGCTGTATGCCCACAGAGACAGACAGTGAGGTGAGATGCACCAAACTACGACGTTGAAATGCAGAACGCTTTTATTTGAACCGTCATCATTTGCTATGAACACAACAGACCTGAAGGTGAAGACAGATGAGATGTGAACAGAAAACACGTGACACTACAGGCGGGGGTTTCCTTAACCTGATGAGTTAAAGAAGACTCTAAAAATAAAAGAGAACTGGAACAAAAGAGCAAACCTGATTCAAGGCGGCAGATTCAGCGAAAACATTGGTGACTGGGGTCGAAGCCGACGAAACAGTTGAGGTGGCACCGTGCATCATGGGAACTTTTATTCAGGTGAGTCAGACGAAAGACAGAGGATGTGGGAGGGGAGGAGGACGGGAGGGAGGGGGGACAGGAATGATATGGTTACCATGGCTAAATGTGTCTGATCACAAGTCAAGTGATATTGCCAGGATGAACAAATAAAACGACACATGCAAATAAATAATAAAGTTACATTACTGATTAGCAAGACAAAAATAATATGCACTGTTTCCGCAACAAATGATAGTTAAACAAACAAGGCAATACACAGGCATACAATCTGATCAGACTGGAGCATCTGATTGTATTCAAATAAAAAGGGTGTGTGTATGGAGGGAGCAAATGATCCATAAGAGAGAGAACACGCTTTTTTAATGTCACAACTTGTGTGTCCTTGAGTTCCTTCCACACACACACACACACACACACACACACACACACACACACACACACACACACACACACACACACACACACACACACACACACACACACACACACACACACACACACACACACACACACACACACACACACACACACACACACACACACACACACACACACACACACACACACACACACACACACACACACACCTCATCGGGAGACCTTTTATGAATACCAGCTACAAGATTTGTTAAGTGCGTTGTGTGTGTCCTGATTCTGATCAATATTTTATATTTTATATACAGTATATAGTTTGTATCAACATCTCAGGAATATATTATGACAGATGAGAGGCTTGGCTCACTGGTCTGGATTCAGTTAAGGTCCACACAAACTACCCTGTAATCAATAAGCTTAAAAAAACAACTAAAAGTTCATTGTTTAAAAATAACTAGCTACGTTGGTTTGGTCATAATACAATTTGGGTAACACTTTATATTAAGGTACATGTTGGGGAATAATTTGCCCTGCGTGTCCTCCTTCGCCCTCTGACGCAGATGCCCAGCCTTGGGCAGCATGCTATCTCCCTTAAGGAGGGGCTGCCCTAGCATATTGTTGATGTTACCAGTTTATGACCGGGCAACTCTCGGTCAGAGATAGTTATTGTTGTGGGACACCTGGAACACATCCTTCTCGGGGTGTAGATGACCTCGAGCCATACGCAACAACAAATGTGATTCAGTGTCCTCAGCTGTTTAGTCTATCTATTGAAGAATGTTGATTATTACACTCTGAACTAGTTAAAACCTGGAACTACAGGAGGGTTCTTCAGAATTGATTTGGCATCTCAACCGTGTGGTCAGATCGTGGCCCGTGACATGTCTTGTGAATGCTCCGGCCGAAGCTCCAAATAAACCGTCAGTGTTTGCCATCAAAGCTCCAGCTCTCCTCGTGTCTCTCTGAGTCCTGACTCCAATTGCTTCAGGAGAGTCCCCCACAGTACACACATTCACAATCAACTAGTTGTTCATTGACATATTAGCAGTATATTGGCTCTTTATTAGTCATTATAAAACTCTTATTAATGCCTTATTCTACAATACCATATTCTCCCAGTACTAGGCCATTAGTTGAGAGTTTTTCCTTAATAACCCTCTAATTAGTGCTTATTTATTTTAAGTAAGGAAGTTGTTGTACATGAGTTTTGGTCTTAATATGCTCAATATGGGCCTAATAAGGCAGTAGTACCACAAGCATAGTAATCCTCCCATAATTACACTAAACAAATATTGTCTATTCTTATGTAACAAGACATGAAGCTACAAGTGTTATTTTCTAACTCAGAAAATGTTCCCTATTTTAAAGTGAAGTCTTGTTCATAACAAACAAGCTAGCAGTTTGAATCTAATATGCATGTTGTTATTTATCTTCTTTACTTGTTTGTAAAGCACTTTGAGCACCAGGAAAATAGCTATATAAATAACGTGTATTATTATTATGTTAATTAACAACTAGTTGATGGTGAATAAGTGTAACTAAATATAAAGTGTTACCACAGTTTGGATTTAACTGTAATTACTTCTAATAATAATGATCAGTTGTGGCTCTACACGCAGCTCAAATAAGACCTTTTTTGTGTGAGGTTTTTGGGGTCTGGCGGGGGATAACCTGCAGAGTCCCCTCACCACAGAGTGCAGCCACTGTTCAAGAGACGCATGCACACAGGAACACACACCCTGCATGCGTGCACAGAGAAATAAATGAATGACTTGTTAAATAAATTAAAGATGTGATTGCAGACATGACACATAGACATGATGCAATGAAGAAGACAATGGGCTGAAAGCTCCTTAATTTACCCCCATATATGGTCAATGTGGTTTTCATTGGCTGACTAAATAAGCTGCATTTTTAAAGCTCTTTCTATTCTTTTTGAGCCCATTGGTGAGCAAGGGATTAAATGGACAGTTCACCCCAAATTCCCAAATTCAAATGTCCCCTTACCTGTAGCGATATTTATAAATCTAGATAGTTTGGTGGGGGATGTTGAGTGTAGGAAATATCAGTCAGTAAGATGTCGGCCTTCTCTCTGGTATAATTAAAACAGATGGCACTCAGCTTGTGGTGCTCAAAGCGCCAAATAAGATAATCCCCACACCTCTTTGTGAGTGGATTCATGTAGGAACAATTCTCTTTACTGCATCACTGCGTAGAAGGCAGTGTGCATCTACTCATGGAAGAGAGGCTCGAGACAGTGCAAGATGTAAGCATTAAAAGCATCTTCCTCTGCTGAGCTGTAACATTAGCTATCTGAGACGAAGTCAGGGAGTCCATGAGTGCATGGACACTTCTTTCTGAGTAGTGATAATGTTTACGGGTGTAGTTCGGTAGAAAGGAAATAGTTCTAACACGTTGATCTCCAGCTCTGATACAACTGACCTACCAATGTCTCCTGAGGGCATCATGCACAGAACAGAGCCTGTCTCGTTAATGTTAGCATAAAGGAAGAGATGGATGAGAGCGGACGAGAAGGAGAGCAGGAGGAGAACAAAAAGAAAACAAAGACAAAGAGTTGTGGAAAAAGAAAAGGTGCAATCAGCAACAGCAGGTTCAAGGCGAGTGAACAGGTTCAGGTTAGTGCAGGCAACACCAGGCTGTCACTGAGAGCAAACACACACAGTAAAGCTGTATTGTACAGGTGACTACATAAGAAACCCTTGCATTTGTCTGGCCAGAGTCAGGCTCTGTGATTGAGTTTACCTTCATGTGTGGTGACAGTATGATCGTGTTTCAGTGTGCAGGGACTCACTGGTGGGGATGAAGGTTTGCTGCTGCAGCTGCATGTTAGCCAGGGCTTGCTGGTAGTGGAACATGCTGGGGTTAAAAACGGCGGTGGCTCCGTTGCTCTTCTCTAACATCTGCCTCTTTGGAAGCTGCTGCATGCCACCCGGAGGGAGAACCTGGAAAGATAGAGGACTCATCTATTACAGGCAACGTAAGTCACCATTATGTCAAATATCACTGCTGATGATACACGACTTTATATGTCATTTTAAACATAATGATGTTTCGCTTGTTTTCCTTTTCTATTCTCCTGGTTCTTTAATGACTGTCTTTTATCTTGTTTACATGTGCTTTCATGATGGGTTTCTTTTGCTATTTGTCTCAGAGATTTGTGTAAGGCACTTTGAATGTTCTTGTTGTTGAAACACACTTTATAAATAAACATGTCTTGCCTTAAAGGTGGGGTAGGTAAGTTTGAGAAACCGGCTCGAGATCGCTAGAATTTGAAAATACACAGCCGGAGAAAATCTGCCACTTCCTTATAGAGCCCCTCCTCCAACACACACGAACGCGCACATGACCAATGAGGGCACGAGATAAGTTTGTGCACAGATGGAAGGCTGACAGGCAGGTAGGCCATCCAGTTATTTTAGCCGGGCCGGCTAAAATGATTGGTCGTGCTTTTTACAGTACTACAGCTTCCACAGATGAAATATTTTTATGGATTTTTTGTCAAAGCACTTGAGATATTCATTGCTATCGGGATGTTAAGAGCATTCCATGGAATATAACAAAAAGTGTATCTCGAGCCGGTTTCTCAAACTTACCTACCCTACCTTTAATTCGAATGACTTTTTGAAAAGGTTGCAAAACATAATGTTTTTAATTTGACAAACATTGGCAAAATTAGACAATTTGAATTCAAAACGATGCTGAAATGCATTGCTTTGAAACAAAACACCAAGATTATTGAAACTCTATCTACTTGTCTCGCTGTCTTAGGACATTAAGTAAGGACTATCTTTTCATTTGGCTTTTTATGTAGGGTAACTGTAATGCTATCACGTTTATTGTTTGGTTTTATTATGATAAAAAAATGTCTTTCTGTATTTTGTTTTGTTTAGTTTTTCCTCTCACTAATGCTATTGCTTGTTATTAATTATTTTCAGCTCATCTTATTTAGTTCATCACTATATATTTTCTTGTATCTTGTTCTTATTATTATTATTATATTCATGACTAGTAAAAGTATCTGGTGTTATCTCACTGTAAAATCCTTAAACCCTTCATCCAATTAATTTTGGGTTTTCTGTTTTCGCCACCAGAGGGCGCTGCAGTGTCTCAGATTTTCTGAAGTGATGCAGGACGGTCCAGAGGTCGGCCAAGTGCAAAATGCTATCAAATGCTATCGCTATGATTTCATTCATTAATGGGGCGAGGTCTGAAACATCAAACTGCATTGGAAGATAACCCAGGGAATGATTTACCTATAACAGGGAAGTACAATTATAACATAAAAACACACATATCACATTTTAGGATGTTTCATTAATTTTTTTTTTTAATTATCCTCCCTGATTACCCTGAATAATTAAAGCTTAGATGAAAAATAACAGCATAAAGTAAAACCATGGATAACATATGTTTTCCATTCCTTTCATTATACTTTGCTTCATCTTTTTCCAGCACTGCGTTTCTTGTTTTTCCTGCATCAGCACTGCAGATTGACCTGATTATGTTACAGCTGCTCTCAATGCTAACTTTAGCCCGTGTAGCTGAGAGCACCGGCTCAGTCTCATGCACAGTAGGAGACATTCATGAAAAAACATAATCCCCCAGACTGCAATATCACATTGCAAGCTGGCTGAGGGATACTGTGATACCCTGATCCTTCATTGCATCAGTAAACATCATCCACGTACAGAACTAAACAATCTTCTCCTGTTTTACTGCTGGGTTGAGCAGAATGTTGATTTGTAACTTCTGAGAAAGTGAGTTAATTTCGGGTTTACACCTGAGCATGTTCACAATGTCATTATGGGAAAGTGTAAGGGCCACACATAAGAACAAAAAGAATAGGAAAAATAATGTTGAATTTCATTATCAGAGGAGGAACCAGTTATTTGGTTTGTTTTTTGCATTTCCGAATTAAATGGAAATGTTGAGATTGAAGTAGAAATGAGGGGAAGAAACGTTGAACTTCTGCAAATTCATCTAAATACTAAGGGTTGGCACATATACTCAAAGTGAATCTGTGCTCTCATCATTTCAACTGTAAAAAAACGTCCTCTTCTGACATTAGTTTCCTTATGACTGGCCCTAAAAAAACGTAATGTTGAATTTGTTGGTGTGCAAAACAAAGAGTCCTGAGTGTGTGTGTCTCACCAGGCCTGCGCCCGCTGTGTTGTGGCTGGCTTGGTGCTGCGCAGCCTTGATCCGGGCCTGCAGGTGAGCCGGGGGGTGGAAGTACTTGCACTTGTCTCGGCTGCAGCGGCCTTTGATGTAGTCCATGCAGACGATGACCGAGTTCTCGCTGCAGTCCACCATGCCGGCCTCCAGAGGGTGAGCGTAGCGGCAGTCGCTCTCGCCCCGCGTGCAGTTACCGCGCTGGAACTCTCGACAAACCTGCGAGACAAAACTGTTAGCAACAAACTGTTCTGTCCGCAGTATCCGCACAAAAACCACCAGACTCAGGGACAGTTTTATCCCACAGGCCATAAGACTGCTAAACACCCGAGCTCTGTTAAGTGCCCCGATAAACATTCCTGTTGTCATCTTGCAATATACTAATTTATATAAATAGTCATCACCGCAATAAACCGTATTTAATTTTGTCTTAATTTACATTATTTAATTGTATATTCTGTTCTTGTACATATCCCATATTCTATTGACATGTATAGAGACTTTTTGCACTACGGTTTATTTTGTATTTTTGTATTTTATTATATATGTTGTTGGAGGAGCTCAGGTCAGAAGCATTTAATTGCCATTTCTACACTGTAGCTTTGTGCATATGACAATAAAACCTTTGAATCTTGAATTGAATCTTGAATCTTGAGGGTCAGAAGAGCTGTGATCAACATTTACCCTTCATCACATATTGGCCAAACATAGAAACACAACAACTGCCCCGGGCTGCATACCTCCAGCTTGTCCGTGCGCAAATGTTTCTGAGCGGAGGTGCCGTTGCCCATGGCAGCCAGGCCGGTGGGGCTCCCAGGGACCAGCAGGGGGGCGCTGGTCAGCATCTCTGGCATCAGGCTCATGCCGTGGCCCATGTGGCTCAGATAGGGACTGAAGGCCATACTGGGACACGTTCCCAGAGAGGGCGTCATCGGGAATGTTGTCTGAGGGAGGGACATCAGCGCAGAGACCAAAGAGACACAACAAGTTATAGCAGAGCTTTCGCTGGCGTTAGGACAGGAGTTGGAAACATAAACAGAACTTTGTTTTTCACAGCATTGAAAACCATGTAGTTACCTGAAGTTGTACAATTACTTTGAACATTAACATTGAATGAATAATATTTAAAAGCTCAAGCTCGTCAGTTTTGATTGCAAATTTCACATTTACTTTTAAGTTGAATAAAAACAAAGCTACCTTCCCTGTCGCTGAATGATCCTCAATGAGTTTTAACCAAAAATATGAAAAAAATAAAATAAATCATAACGGATGAGTCATAAAGTATTAGGTAAATTAAATGTTTTGGCTATTTAAATGAATTTCAATATTTTATATACATTAAAGTAAGGGATAGAAAAATAATATTTTTGATCTCCCATTTCATCTTTATTGGAGAACAGAAGTAAATATATATTTAGCTGGAGGCATAACTTAATGAAAGTCCTATATTATTACCAAATAAATGCCACTTTGGTTAAAACATACCTCACAGTACACACAGTGCAGTTAATGCTTTGTTGAATAAATGACATTTTGAAACACATTAAATATGCTCACTATGGGCTGCAGCTGGGCTCCAGGCATCATGAACTGCATCTGTTGAGCCAACATGGCCGCCGCGGCCTTCTGCTGGATCAGGTTGTTCCTCCCGTTAATCTCCAGCTGCGTTTTCAGGTGCGGCGGTGGATGCAGATATTTACAGTTCTCACGGGTGCAGCGCCCCTGAAGAGGAGAGAGGAAGGAGGGAGGAGCAGTGTGAGAGCAGGGGTGACACTGAGTCATGTGACACTAAATCAATCACGGGTGTGCCTTGACATAGAGAGCTCACCTTAAGGCAGATCTAAGTTTAGAAGAGCGCTCATCACTGTAATCAAGCCTAATATGTTCAACTAAACATCAGGAAGCGTGGGTGTTTACAGAGCAAGATATGTACAGTAAATGCTGGTGAAATACAGCAGTAATGAAGTCCCAGAAGACTGCATATTGGATTATTCATGAGAAATGTGAAACCACTTTCTAAAATGTTCATCATTAAAAAGTACGCTATGCTGGGAACAACAACGATCTGAGCTACACAGTAATGTAGAAAGTCAATAGGTTTTTCATGTTTCTACAAGAAAATTACTTTGAGCCATTGAGTCAAACTGTACTTCCTACTTTGTACCATTAACAAGTCACGTGTAAAGCGTTGTGAAATGACAGGTGGAGTATTTGAACCAGCTTTGGATTTTTCCACAGCAGCACAGCAGAGTCAGATGAACCTCGCTGTCAAGAGATAAAGCTGGAGAGTGAAAACACATGCTCGACTCTCACTGACCTGTACGAGACATTCTTTGATCTAGTTTCACTCACTAAATAAGCAGAGAAAGAGAGACATAGAAAGAATGTATCTGACTGACTTCAGCACGTGGAGTTGGCTAAATTCAGATCAGATTAATCAATCTATCATCCTCATTTAAACGTGTAAGAAAAGTACTTTTAGCAAAAATAACTCAAAGTTTTAAAAAGCAAAAGTACTTGTACATTTCTACAGCATTTTATTATAGCAATAGAAATGCAACAATGCTATCGCTAATTATTGTGTTCTTCATCTGCATTACTCCTCACATTCAGAAGGTCAAAACATAACGGCTACGCACAAGTGAAGAACATTTTTGATTAAGTGATGTACTTTTCAATTGGAACAAAACAACTAATTATTCCAAATTAGACATGCTTATCTAATGAACACAGAGAACTATTCATGACTATTCATTAACAAGTGCAGCATGTCGGCTTTGCATGCTGGGCTTATTTGCATAGTCAAAGCATTTTTATTGGTCTGACGGCAGACAGAGTGTGCGACTGCAACCTGAGTCGTACACGTGTGCATGTAAGGTAGATTATCTGCATAATAAATGTGGATGAAACAGCAAGAGATGATTATAAAAAACATTCTCACTCGTCATTTCAGGTTATCAAATAAATGGAATATTGTATAAAAGTAAATCAAAGTAGAACTGCAGTTGAGGTTCCTCTGATGAGCTCATAACACAGCACACAGTATCAGTGATTAAGGCAGTTTTGGCGTCATTGGGCAAAAACTCCGTAATAACCTAACATAATGAAACTCAAGTGGTACTCCAGTGTAGGCGGTTTTCTGGAGAAGGTAAAACAGTCACCTTTGGGTGTTATTCATTCAGACATCATTCGATTCTGATTGTATTACAATACCATTAGCATTATAGCAGCAATTCTTTGATAATTCTGTTTCCTTTGCAACTATGTGGTCCCTTTAGATAGCACTGTGCAAGCTATGATTACTAGAAGCTACGTTATTAGCAACATTTCTCTCCCTGTCTGAGATGTTTTGCAAATATTGCCTGTCTCTCTTTTTGACAAGTTCATTTTCCTTATTTGCAGTTGTGGCCAATCCTGGAATATAAACTTTGCCTGGAGGACATTTCACTGTTGAATCAGTCATTCAACATCTGAAGGGACATGCACATGCATTTGTAGAACAGCCAATAGGAACGCCCTCCCCCTGACCTTGGATTAGCCGAAGTACAAAAAACATCCTAATTCCTGAAAACAAGAGCTGAGAGAAGGTGCAGAAGTCTAGTTTTTCTATCAGACCACTTGAAAAACAGTATGCTGAAATTGTATTATGGAATTCCAGCCAAATAACTAATAACTTACTTATGTTGCTGTTATTCTGTGTTTTAGTCTACCGAGTCTCATCCTAAATTCATCCTCCATTTTATCACAAGTATTTTTCCAACTCATTTTTCAACTTGGCATTTTTGTCTTCTTGTGAATCCCTGAATCAGATTTTGAGCCACTTATCTTAAAGCAATTGATTTTGCCCCAGCACAATGTTAAAGCTGTGTCCTTGCTCCCTGCTGGAGTGTGTGGGGAAGGTGAAGATGGTGCTGCAGGAACACTGCAGGTCAACACACACTCTGCAGTCTCCATTAAACCCCTGGGCTGACAGCAGCTGTCTGGCCCTGCAGATGAGCTGTTAACCCGCTAAAGCACCAACACTGAGTGACTAACCACACCCACCCACACCCACCAGCTCTCATTAGGGGCTGGAGAGAGTGCCGCACAAACTGGCAGCAGAGAATAAAAAACTCTAAAGACAAAGTGACGTCATGGTGCAGAGACTCTGACGGTGATGGATGATGTCGCACCGAGATGAGGACACAAAGTGTTTCAGCAGCAGGAGAGCTATATAGGACATCTGCAGTGTGTCCTCTACCAGCATCCAGGAGGGATTCACACGACCTCACAATAGCACACAAAAAGCATACAAGCAGAACATGTAGCAGCCTGAAAACGGTCAGATTGGCTTACACAAACACCTTCGCCTACACAGGAGAGGAGAGCAAGCTTTGCGTCAGCAGGCTGTGTGTTTAGGGATGAGTCTGTAATGAGGAGTGAGTCCCACGAGCCCAGCAATCCTCAAACTCACAGAGAAGGAAAAACACTTAATAATGTAGCACTTCATGCAGTCTGTGCTCTGCAGCTAAATTACTTGGACAAAAAGAAAGAAAGATACAAAACCTTTAAAAAAGGCTATAAAATCTGGGTGAGAGGAGGAGGCCGATGAAACGTGGCGTTGAGGAGAGTAATGGGTCAGGAATCTCCCTGTGGTTGCCATAGCAACACAATACGCAACACAGAGAGAGTCCCTGTTAGTGCAGCAGAGTGCTGCATCAGAGAGGAGATCAAATCATAAATACACAGATAAAACTGGCCAAATAGACCATAATAAAGTGGTAAAAAAACAAGCTTCTTTTGGCTTTCACTTAACAGTATGAAGTACATGTGAATGGTTATAAAATAATGACACTGTTATTGGTTATCTTTAAGGCTTGCTTTCACTATGCAGTTCTGTCTGACACTTGGTACAATCTGCTGGGAATTAGAGGGCTTGATTTATGGCACGAAGATGTGGAAAACAAAACGCAGTGTGTCCTGTGCTGCGTTGCCAAGTATTTTCCAATGAACGCAGTTAGCACAATCTCCAAAAGTTGCCATTATGGCCGTTATACGCTCATTTGCCTATTGGTAACGTCATCTTGCCAGAATTTGCATAAAGCATAGTCTTGTCTTTTGCAACAGTGTGGGAGAGACCCTGTGGAGTTGGCTGAAGAGCCGTGTACAGTGATTACCCTGCGCAGCATTAAATATGAATTACACTATAATATATGTGAATTTATTACTTGCTTTTTCCCTTATGGTCTGAATAAGTTGCTACATTCTTGGCTAATAGTAGATTCTGCAGAAGACAGCAAGCTATCAGGTCTTCTTTGTGAAAGTAGCACCAATAATCATTCAAAATTAAATGAATTGTTTACAATGGGATAGCACTTTGATTCAGACTGAAATATCTCAACAACTGTAGGATTAATTAAAGGGGACCTATCATGCAAAATGCACTTTTGTACGTCTTTTATACATGAATATGTGTCCCCGGTGTTCCAGGGAACTCACCAAGTGTCAGAAAACACAACCCTCTCTATTTTCCTCCATACCCAAATCTCTAAAAAAGGGGCTGCAACGGATCTGATAAAAACTGATCCAGATTTGAACACTGTCCTGACGTCAGCACAGTGGCGCTATGGCTATTGGGCCAACTCCACCAATCAGGAGGAGACAGCCACGGCCATTGCCGTTCGAAAGCGCTGGAGACGCTGTAGTACATATGCCAGGCCTGTAGGTGGTGCTGTTCTCACTGAATCAGCCCTTGCAAAAACAGAGCTAAAAAATGTCAAATTGAGCAAAATGAGGCATGGCTAAAATGCATGATCTGTTTGGTATTTTGAAAAAAAAAAAGTATAAATATGCCTTATATAGGTATGGTCCTACACTATATTATTCAAATATAGCATGATAGGTCCACTTTAAGATGAAAATGTGTTCAGACACTCATGTTGCTCAGAGGAGGAATCCCACTGAGTTTGACGATCCTCTGAGTTGTCATTTAGTACCACTATACGTCTGACACTTGTATTTTAGTATTTTTTATTTTTAATCTCAACTTTAAGATGGATTGCAATGAATTTTGGAACTGACATCCATGTTACTCAGCCGGTGCATCTCTTGGTCTTGTTAATCTTAAAAATATTACTACAAATATGCTTCTTCCAGCCTCTAAAATGTGAAGATTTCCTGTTTTGACTTTGCTGTTTATGATAGTAAACTATTTATTCTTGGGACCAATTTCTGATTAGACAACAGCAGTATTTTAAAGAAGTCGTCTTTGGCCTTTTCATCTATTTTCTGTCATGTTAATTTGATTTAAGGTTAAAACGCTCCATGGATTAATCGATACTGAAAATGATAGTTAGTTGCCGCCTGACCATGATGTCATCCAGAAGTGACACTGCAGTTGAATCTGCTGCACGCCGGGCAGATGTGATGTCCACACTAATCATTGGAGATGACAGCAGCACTCCAGTTAACAAGGTAAAAAGAGCCCCCCCCCCCCCCCCCCTCTGCAGCAGGTTCAGAACGACCAGACAGAGATAATGGAGGAGCAGCAGAGAACGACGGCGGTCAGCTCCGACCGGCCTGGAGATGCCAGATATGGTAGGGATGATGAGGAGGGAGGCCATTAGCAGATAAATCCATAAAATTAACAAAGAAGGGAGGGGTGGGCGGGGAGCAGGAGGAAGGAGTGATGCTGTTGAACGAGGCACTTCTTTGTTTTTTCCAGCCAGTCAACCAAAAACAACGGCTGTCAGCTGAGAGTAATCCTGAACAACACAGAGGGTAGAAACGGGCTGTGGAGGTGGCTGCTGTTGACACAGTGTGCTGGCACTAAAACCCTGTGCAGCTCCTGATAAAGAAAGCCGCTTTGACCTTCAACTGTCACCAACTTCAGTCCTTCTCTAATTAACAACACAACACGGGGGGTGTTAAACAACCTAAAGTAGCCTTTAATGCTTGTTCGCTGCATGTAATACAAAACAACTAGCTTCTTTCTCCCATCAATGCAACCAGTACAGAGCCAGACTGTTGCTCCGTGCTAAAAACAGCCGTGCCACTCAGGAAGATCAAACTATCCAATGGGTACGCACTCCTGTGCTGTTGCTAGGCCCCCCTCTCTGTTTCTCCCTCTCCATCTCCCTCCTGCTCTGGAGGACATAACACAGAAAAATGGCTGAATAATAAATTCTAACTCAATAAACGTGGAGACAGCAGCTGCACTCAGACAGAGAGCCCCTTGTCTGGGTCTCACTTCTTCTCTGCAAGCAAGCATTTTGAACAAAAAAACACAACAGTAGTGTTTTCTCAATTTAAGAGAAATTGGCTATTGATAGTCGGAGCTCTTCTACAGTAAAGCATGATCACTTCCCAGGCTGTTAGTTTTTCCTCTGCGTATGAGTGGAGCTAGTGTGGTTCTGTGGTGGATCAGCTGAAGTGATGTTGAAGCAGCTCGATGATGGACGGAGAGAGTGTTGGGAAAGAGGCTTTACGAGACATTTCAATCATGCACTGCAACATGGACAATGTATATCTTTATCATTACTCTGAAGTTGTTATACATATCTACATGTGTGTATTAGAGAAACCTTAATTGATTGGATGTTTGAAACAAGCCTATGGTTTGTTGATCTGACATGACCACTGATTAGTTTTCTATATCCTATTTTTCTCGTGTCAAATTAACAGAAAGTACAGCCACAAACATCACAGAGAAGATGTCATTGAAGTAGAAAAGTTCTTCAGAGTGATTGGAGAAGCCAAAACAGTTGCAATATTTGAACACCTCAAAGTCCAAAAGTCATGTGGTAATATGCCTGTTTTATCCCACAGAGACAATTTGTAACACAGCACCTGAAATACATCCTCAATTCTGATTGGCTGGAAAGTGTGGTCAGACATGATAACAGCACATCTGTAATGCAGGTGATGATTAGTATCAAACTGTAAGTCAATATAGCAACAACCAGGCTCAGCTCTATAGATAGGAGCTAGGGTTTTAGTGAGAACTACATCAAATATGTTTCAGCCTGTTAGACATTAGTGAGTGTGGACATCCTATTTTAGGAGAAAAGCGAGGACACCCCCCTGTACAACTTTCATATCATGACCAGAAATGTGTCCAACACCAGAGACCTAACGATAATGGTGACTATCCCTCTAATATATATGTTATTATATTACACCACTGTGTGTCACAACGACAGTCACCCCACCTCTCTTTACCATCTCATCAATATACGTTCTAATAGATGCAGAAATGACCTTGATCTTAGAGGTGCTCAAATTAAACCAGTCACATTTAAATAAATCATGTTTTACACCTCATGCCACCGTTTCCGTCGCTTTAGACTCCATGATGACAGGCCAGAAAAGTAATTTTCAGCTGGTATGCTGATCATCTATAGGAGATCATTCTGTGGGAGACTTTTTCAATAGATGACAAGAAGCTTTACCATAAACATGATTGTATAACCACTGAATCACAAGGAGATATTTGATATGATTGAATTAAATACATTCTTAATCAATTAGAAACCTGTAATTGGATCAGCTGAACAAACAACATGTGTGCAAGCTTCCAGGAATTTGTTTGGTTTATTACATTTACAAAAATATGTTTATCTAAAAAGAGAGAAAAGATGCTTCGTACCAGATTTACTTATGAGTTCATTTTGCATCAAATAGCTGAGGTCCCCACTGTCGCATCTCCACTCGAACACTTTAATCAGCAGATGACACGCTCAACAATAGCTTCATTAACCAGAAGGGCGTTCAGAGATGATGACCTCCGCCAAGGCCGTGCCGTCTCACAAAGTCAACAAAAGTGAGAAATAATTCAGATTTCATTCAAAATGTAATAGTCTACCTTGGCTTTTGTTATGGCCTTTAACCAAGTTCCATAACAATTGGGCCAGTAGTTTTCCTCCTTGGTGAAGTTAAATATAATTATAGGTGGGCCTCATCACCTGAAACAAAGACCACTTCTGCTGTAAAACACAAACAGGAAACCCTGTGTGTGCCAAAAGTCATCAACTAGCTTGACACCGATCACAATGTGTGTGTCTGAGCAAACAGTGTGTGTAATATCTGTTGCATTGTTACCTTGAGTGAGTCAAAGCAGGCGATGACTCGGCCATTCTCCACATGGCAGCTCCGGGCGGGGTGAGCAAACTTGCACTCGGCATCAGATCGCGAGCAGGTGCCTCTCTGAAACTCACGACACACTTCCAGGGTCAGCCATTTGGTGTCCCGTCCCATAGTCATGTTGACAGCCATCAGAGTAGCTCACAAACAAACAGTGGCGAGGGCACAACTGTCTGGCGAGAGCAGGGGTGACTAATACTGATGCAAGAGAAAAAAAAATCCCCAGCAAAACAGAAACAGAAGCTAAAAGAATGTTCTGCCTTTCCTCAGCTTAAACAGGCAGCAAGTCCTCTCGGGTGGAGAATTTTAGGGGATGTTTATTAGTTCTTCCTGGGAAAAGTGGCAGCTGAAGTTCAAGATAAAAGGGGGCAAACTGTGAGCAGAGGCCAGCTCCGTCTCAAAGAGCAAAAAAAAAGGGAAAAGCAGAAGCTACCGCTAGCTATCACTGTTGCACACAGAGCATCTGTGCCTTCACCTGAATGGACTGACACCCACCGTATGTCATTGTTGAATTCACGTCAACATGGCCAGGGTCGGGGCAGTCACTGTGGTTGTGTCAGAGTAGCCCGAGAAAGAAGATTTCTGTGGGACAGAAACAAAAAGCAGAACCATATGGGGATGGTGTCCTTGCAGTGATGAGACGAGAAGGCGTTTCAGCTCAAGGTATGTGGGGACTGCAGCTCAGTAACGTGGGATGGATGACTCTGTGGCTGTCAGGATAAAATACAGCCTCCATTCAAGGCCAAGCACACACTGAGCCCCGTCCTGCGCTCATCCAGCAGCACACGACCCCTCGCAGTAGGCACTTTGGAGTTCCACTTCCGCCTCTTATTTCAGTCTCTTTCTCATCCCTCCTTCGCTGTCGTCTGTTCTTCTGTTGTCATCCTCTTCACTGACCTCTCTGCTGCATGTCCTTGCTTGTTGTCTCTCTGTGGACTGTAAAAGAAAGAGAACATTAAATCAAAGCGTTGGCAAAAAAAAAAGGAAAATGCTTGTAATGTGAAGCTACAACCTCGTGTGGAGCTCGTTTAAACGGAGGGTGACGAGGACCACGAGGCAGGAGGGTGGATGGGAAAGAGCCAAAGAGAATAAAGCGAGGACAAACAAATAGGGGAACAGAGCAAACGGGAGGGAGGGAGGCAGCAATGAACAGGAAAGGGCAAGCTATGTCTTGATTAAGTGATACAAGAGAGGGAGAGAAAGAGAGAGAGGGAGAGAGGGAGGATGGAGGGAGATTGCAGGCAGGACAGAGACGTCACTTCAACTCCCCTGAGCTCCATGGAGCAGAAAGTAATTGACTAACTTGACATGAATCATGCTGCAATATTCTGTGAAAAGCCGTGTCCTTGAAGTTGCACCGGCTGGCACGTGTGTGGTCGGCACTGATGATTCCCAGACAGTTATTAATGTGAAGGGAAGAAGTAGGAAAGAAGAGACAGGGAAGAAAGAGAGAGGGGGGGGTGGCTCTTCACAACTGCAGCTGCTGTACCCAATGCACGGCTGCAGCCAATCGGACAGAGTCTTGCAGGCACGCAGAGCAAATAAATGACCAATGACAGGGCGGTTTCCACAGCAGCTCCTCCCTCCACAGAGCCTGTCCCTGTTCCTTTCTGGATTTGTTCACAGTCATGGCTGAGCCACATGCTAATATTCAAACTGTACAACAACTCTGACTCCCCACAGCTCCTCGTGGACGCGGAGGAGGAAGTCATATCTTATTCAAACAGTGGACTGTGCTGCAGTGTGATGCAAGGAGGGAGGATGCATGCAGGGATCAGAGCGACGTGCCCAGACACTAACTGAATACAGATAACGAGGTGGCTCAATAAAACGTTTAGCTTCGCCAGAGAGGGCAAAGTCCAAACTGCATTCTGGAGTTGGTCAAAATGAAAGAGGAAGTACCACTGTCCTGTCTGAAACATAGTCCTGCACTCATGCACAAAGTGAATAAACAATAGATATGCAGGAGAGGAGGAGTACAGCATAAAATAGGAGGAGAGGGGGGGGGGGGGGGGGGGGGCTGGAGCAGATATTATTATCTGATGGCGGCAGACACAGACGGAGGAACCAACGGGGGGGGAGAATGTGACGGAACGAGGGTGTGTGTGTGTGTGTGTGTGTGTGTGTGTGTGTGTGTGTGTGTGTGTGTGTGTGTGTGTGTGTGTGTGTGTGTGTGTGTGTGTGTGTGTGTGTGTGTGTAGATAGACAGCCCAGAAGGAGAACACCGCAGTGTAGTGGGAGACAGAGGGATAAGGGGGAGGTGGGAGCTGAATTGATACACCCACCTTCAAACACAAGAACAAAGACACATCCCAACCCCAAAAAAAAGAGAGGCAGGAATGGGAGATGAGCAGGCCAGGTACAGCAACTGCTTTGCTTGCTTTACCATTATGCTTGTCTATGCCTCCTCCTCCTCCTCCTCCCCCTCCTCCTCCTCCCCCCAGCCTACCTACAGATCGATGGAAACTTTTCCCAGGGGGACAGAACAAGCATTCCTCCTGCAGCTTTGCCTGTCCTGCATTCAGGTCCACATCAGTGTCAAGCGCCCTTGCTTACGCACACCCTGACGACGCAGCTCAATATGCAGCCCACATCATCCAAATGCTCCCGAGCAACACTCCTCACTTCCTCCCCTCGCTCTCGCCACACACCAGACACCAAATGGCGCACAGTTGCATTTACGAGCGTTTCCTGGAAAGCTACGCAGCAATGCTGGCTCCCCTCCGGTGCCATTCCAGTTAATATGTCACCCTGTAGCTGTGGATATACAGAGTAACGACCTTCCACTAGCTGATATTTACTGCTGTGGTTCTGCTTTCCAAGAGTTTCACACTCTGGAAGATGTCCCCGACTGTTTAACCTTCCCTTTTTATGTTCACCTTTGGCCTCTACTAAGGCATTTAAGGGGACTGAAAAGTGATATAGGCAGTTAAAAAACATAGAAATTAAGCTAGGGTTTATTGTGCACGTTGGTTACATTGTGACATGCCTACTTTGGTTGGTGTTCATATGGAGTTTCAAATAAACAGTAAGTATGTTAAATGAGTAGGTTTCTCTTTAACCTCAACTGTCACATTAACAAAGCTAGCATTGCTAACATGCTCATGATTAGCAGGGTAATGTTTACCGTGTTCAACATCTACGTTTAGAATAGAATTGAATGAATTAGTCGAGTAACACAAACACAATTGCCAATCATCTGATGATTCATTTACTGATCCAGATCATTTTAAAACAAAAATGGTGTTAATTGCTGCTTTCAGTCTGTCAAATATGTACTTTAAAACATGTGTTTTCATTATCGATTGACAAATCAAGGTATGTGAAGACTTCGACTTGACTTTGAGAAGCTGTGACGGACAACTAATTTCTTCAATTTTATAGACCAAATGATTAACTAATTAATATAGGATATCATTAGCAGATTACTTGATAGAGAAATGTTAGTTTTGGCCAAAGTTATGCCATACTTAGTACTAAACACAAAGAACCGCTGAGGTTGATGGAATATCATTAGTTTTGCAGGTATTTGGTCATAAATTAATGTATTTGACCGTTTATAATTTTGACCTTATGATGACTCATGAATAAAAAAAGGCAAACCAAAGTTATCACAATTCATCCTGCAAGAGACATGGAAGTGTGTGCCAAAATGTTAAGTACACATAGGCCTAGTCAGCACATTTTACAATGAATCATTTACCTACAACAGCAGACAGGTATAACCCCCATATTCAATCCAAGAGCATGCCATCTTTAAAGATGTCACCACGTTGTTCAAAACCCAACAAATATCTAATTCAAGTGTTTTTTAAGAGACAGCACTCTTTAGAAGTGCAGATCCTTTAGTTTGGAATGAAACATCGAGTGCCAGGCTGTAATATTGCACACAGTGGAGATAAAACATGAGGAGGCCAAAAGATCCACAAACACACCAAACAGCCAAGAAGCAAATAACTCGGAGGCAGATTAAGTGAAGGACACGAGTGAGAAGTACTCTTATACATAAGTACTTATCGCTAAACACTGATCAAGAGCTCTCTAAAGAGAGGCTTGATGCTTGAAGCTTGAAACTAAAACTCTCTTTGTTGTTCCTACAACACTTGGGTTCTCAAAGTAAAACAAAATATATATGAGATAGTAGGTCTGGGCAATAAATGTATATGATTATTTTAATGTTTTTCAATGGAATTGAATAATTAGGAAATCATAAATATATCTACATTTGCTTTTAGGGAATATAATTTGAGGATTGCATTTTCATATTTACAAAGGATAGCCGGTGTTGAGTTTAAAATATGTTTTTATTTTCATATCATTTCCCTTGTAAAAGTTTGTTTACACTCAAGTTCATTAAAAAGGAAAAAATAGTTTAATTTGCCAAGTGGTCTTTGTATATACATATTAAATATACCTATATTAACTCATAACTACAAAATGTGCTCTATGCGAAACGACTTAAAGCTTATAGAAGTTATTTTTCATTGATCAACTCGTCAATAAAATAAAAATGTAATATAATCTATATGTTTTATTAAATTAAACTCAACTTTACTCCCCCACAATTATAAAAAGAAAAAACTGTAGTAAGAAGGTGTATTTTGTGTAAAAATAATCTTGGCACACTGAATTTGTCCGGCTTTTAAAAATGCAGCATAAACAGACGTTTGCAGGGATGCGGCATGCTGAATAAATATTGTGTGCCTCAGTTACAACGTCATTATGCTACTGCTGCTGCTCCAGGTGTCTGCAGGGAGGAGAGGGGGTCCAGCAGTGGGGGGGGTCAACGTGTAGGTGGGACAGGAAGAGGGGGGGGGGGGGGTTGCTGTTGACTCCGGCGCACTGCGTCCATCATCAAACACAGTGCACCAAAGGGCTCCCGGCGGGGTAACCTTCAGCGAGCTCTGACGTCTGCCTTATGGAGGGACAGTCGGCCGCGTGCAGCACCTTATCTGCTGCTCACTCTGACAGATATATCAATAAAACTGTTGGCCGCACATTAAGTGAAAGGTAAGGTGACACATTAACAAATAACCAAATACAAAACCGCTGTTATTTCTCCTTTTAGAGTTTCCTTTTGCTGTTTTCTGCTTAATCATGGTTAAGCAGGGGAAATATGTTAGTGTCTGCCCCTTTGATTTCTTCCCAGTGGGCGACGACCATATTGGTTGTTTAGAAGTTATACAAATCTATTTTCATTATTCAAACTAGATTGGAAACACTTAATAAGCATGCATTTAAAGTGTTATAGCAGGTTGACAGAGACAAAAAGTGTCAGTTGAATAATTAGAAATACTTGAAAGATTGAAGTACTGAAAGAAGATTAAAGTCAGAAAGGTAAGATTGCTCTATATTTGTGGATTTATTGTGAATATCTCTGGATTGTGGAGAATTTGGTTGAATGTGTAAATAGGTATTGAAATGTTATAGGCTAATTCTGCAGAGAGAACAACATAAGTAGAAAAAGTTGCAGTCTTCAAGAGAAAATGCATGTGTTCTCACTGATGGAAACTTAGCTGAAATAGTCGAAATAGTTGAGATAGACAAATTGGCAAAAAAAGAAAAATCAGTTCAAATGGAACAGGGGAAAGAAGTTAAAAATTAAGCAAGAACATGTCATAATTCAAAAACAGTGTGTCCTATGTCTCTCTTAAAATCACGTCACCTTCCTCCTCCTACCGCCATACAAACAAAAGTATGTGTGACATTGACATGTTAGTATTCAGTATTATTGCTGTAGATTTTACTGTAGCATTTTGTTAATATGTTAAAAGGTGTGTTAGTTTGATATAGCAGATCGACAAAGAAAACAATAAGATCCTAAAACTATGGAGAACCACCTGGAGAAACAGAGTAAGTGATTTTATCCTTTATACATTGTAAAAAAAAACTTTAAGCCCATACTCAAGTGTCGCAAGAATCTGTATAATTCCTCTAAGAGTTTTTGTTTAGTTTTTTAATCTGGAGTTTCCCCCTCTCCAAAAGCCTGGTGAATTCCTTGTTCAGAGGCACATGTTTTGTAATGAATACTGTAGCTATCAAAATGAAAATATGATCTTTGATGATTTATTAGAAAGCAGTAAACAAGAACTGGTACAAGACAGGATAATGTCAATGACAAGGTGATTGATTAAAAAGCACAAGGTAGAAGATCCATACATCATAATGAGAGTGAGAGCTAGCAGCAGGGAGGGAGGGAGCAACATAATTAGGTTAAGTATCAGTAATCCTTTGGGCTCATTAAAGCACCACCGCTCCAATTCAAGCAAACATACAACAAGCCTTTTCCATCATAGCATACAAAAAGCATGAAATACATGCAGTTTAACTTGCCCGCTGCACTTTTATTCATAATATGAACTAGGCATAGGCCCTGGAGATTTTATATTTGACTTTGCTGGTTGTGAGCTTGGAGTTTGACCTCCCTGTAGTGAGATCATGAAAGTTGAATTTACCTCTACTGTGACAGGTCTTTATTCTCCTCATACAGCCTGTGCTGCAGCACCTCTTTTCACCCTCTGTCTGAAACCAGAGCCCAGTCTGCTCTGATTGGTTAGCTGGCCGACTCTGTTATGATTGGTCAGCTGCTTCGAGAGGTCCCGCCCCTTAGCCTATTATGTAAATTATGTTGGAGCGATAGCCAATAGAGGCGCTACATAGTGTTACATAGTGATGTCATTATGTTACGGAAACAAAGAGTCAAATGGAGGCGTTTCAGGCAGTTCAACTTTGGGATTTTGGCCTTTGCAGACCATTCACATGCACATAAATCTATCTAACACACTACAGGAAAGGGAAAAGCCCAAAAAGCACAAGAGGGCACAGAAAATTATGCATTATAGTTGAACCAATAACACATCATCATCTTGAAATTTTTCTGATATAGGTTGCTGGTGTATAGCGCCCTATAACGAATGGAGCTTCCCCAGGCAGTTCATGTGTGTCTGTCTGTCTGTGTGAGAAGGTACATGAAAACAGGTTCTGTGGGAAATGTGGCAGCATGCCCATGTGTGTTTGTCAGTTATCAGTGTTTATATTAACTAAAGAAAACTAGCTAGACTGGTGCAGAGTCCACAGCCTGGAGGGAGCGCGTGGACCTGTCTTGACAGGCTGAATGTATTGTTAAATAATTCAAGATGATGGGAATACACATACTGGGGTTGTGTACAGTACATACTGTAGTGGTGACAACACTGTATCTATGGTGGTTTGATTGTGTGACTCCTAAGGCTAAACAAGGACAGAGACTCCCTGCACTGCATGCATGCATGGCTGCAGAATCCTGCAAGCATACAGAGAGATAAGCAATAAGGAAACTGTGCTGTCCACTCATGTCAACTGTAACTGAATTAAATATAATATTACAGTTAGCAGAGAGACTCAGAAAGTGAATTCACATAGATTGTTTTTGCCCTTCACTCTTTGCTGGCATGACAACAAAAAAGCAACTTGCACTTGAAACACTGGCACGGTTAGACACCCAATAAAATCCTCATTCAACCAAACCCTTGAGTGCAGTTTCACACACTCAAATATGACAGGCATCATTTGTCCGCACACAACTCTCAGCAGACCAACCCAAAGCATGTCAAATGTGACTGTTACTATTTATTACGCCCGTAATTAAATACAACAAAGGCGGTTTGGGAAATTCCACGCAACAGGCAAAGAGGAAAAGGCATTTCAAATGACTGCAACGTGGATTCAATATCTAAAAACATTCATATATTGGTGCAAACTGCGCCAGACATGCTCTTACCTTGTTATAGTCCAGTCGGATTCAGATGTCTTCTCCTAAATTAATGTCGTTTAAAATGTATACTGTATGGTTATTTTCCACAAAACGTGTTGTTAATCGGATATACAATCAGTATTGCCTAGAATTGAAATAGGAATGAGGAAAAAAGCGCGTTTTCGCTAGCTAAATCGAAGCATGTAAAAAACGTGTTGCCGCCGCGGAGAGAAAGACGCGGGTCTGGCTGCTGAAATGTTTGCTGCGACTACATTTGCTCGGCTGCAACACTGACTGAACACACAGCAAAATAACAGATTTGAAAAAAATCAAGAGGGAGGGCAAAATGGTGAGGGAGGAGTTCAGGAAAAGCGAGTGAGTGTGTGTGTGTTTGCTTTCGTTTATTAGATAACGTGATTAGCATTGGGGAGAAATCAAAGTCACGACAGAAGGTTGTAAAGGTAGGCTGCCATGAACACAGGTAAACCAAAAGGACAGGTGTGGATCAGATTACACTCAAACAAGGGGAATAAATGAAACTTCCCTGATTAGAAATGACAACGATTCCCTTTAAACCTGATGACTGGTGGTCAAATTGTCTGTAGACGAAAACAAATCACCTATATCCCAAAAGTATGGGGGACGAGAGATGCCAAAACAAAGAATTACATAGGACCACATATAGAAATAATGTAATATTCAAAAATAAATGTAGCCGTTGATATTTATTTTGCTTTTAAAAATGTGTATTAAATTGTTTCATTTATGTAAAGATATAAATCTGTAAAACTTTCCTTTTGCATTCTTTCCTCTTTTTTATTTCCACCACTTTTTCTATATCTGCACATGCCTATTTGTTAATCTATTTTTTGATTGGGCAGCTTCCTTACATAACATATATACATACAATATCTATACACACATGTTAAGGCTTATTCAGTCTAACTGTATAAGAATATTAGGATAGGGCCAATATGTAGTTTCAAAAGTTAGTTTTGCAAGGTTTATATTTAATGATGAGTAATATGTTAAAGGTCCCATGTCTTTTCCGGTTATTACCCGTCCCCTTGTGTGTTATGAAGGTTTTGATGCATGTAAACGGTCTGCAGAGTCACAAACCCTCAAAGTACACCCTGTAGCGAGTAAAACTCAAACACAGAAAATACCTGTCTATGCTGCCCCAGAACGCCTCATTGGAGATTTCTCTTTTTCTTCCTGGGTACAGTGACGTATTGGGTATAGTGACGTAACGTAACGTGCGCAGAGCCGTTACGTTTGGACCAATCCGCGGACTTCCTCACACACACACACACTCAATCTTTTCTCAGCTGCAGCTCCGCGGATTTCTCAGCCTGAGATGGCGGGACGTGGGGAGGCTGCGGGTGTGTGTGTGTGCTCGGGCTGGGTTTCGCTGTGTCTCGCTGTCTCCCAGACCCCACACAGTTTAAAAAAAAAGGTTGACTTAAAAAATATTCACAAAACCTTTTAACTGTTGTCTGGAGCCAACTGTAATATTAGTGGCACCACTTTACAGTAAGAGCCCCATAGAATACAGGCCAAATACAAAGCCAAGTTGATCCTAAACAGGAAAGGAAGAAGCAGAGCAGCATGCTTCGTATCAAAGGCCAGAGACCGGCCAGTGGTTTTATATGTGCTTTTTGAGATTTTTTGCATCAGTTAAAAACTTGACATAGACCAAAAAAGGACGACAAGATGCAGGTAATTCATTGTAATTGTAAATACATATATATACTGTATATATATATTCGTTATATATAGATATATGTATAAATATATATAAGGTAATTATTACTTAAAACCTTAGGAGCAGCTATCACAGATTATTTCTATATTAAATCTCTGAAGGTTCACTTATAAATGGTTGAAAATCCTACATGTATTACACCAGTCTTTTTAGATGAATCTGTGATGTCAACTACCACTGCAGTACCTCCTAGTGATGTGACGTTCGCGAACAATCCGATTCTTTTGAACGGCTCTTTGGTACGAACGAAGGGAACCGAGTCCTACTTGGTGAGAGCCGTTCTTTTTATCGTTGGTTCACTGCCTGTCATAAATCCACTCGCCTTTACGGGAACTTTCTTTCCTGAATGCCAATTTGCCGTAGATGATGGCATAACGCATGCTGCTTGAGTAGTAGTTTGGCTGGCTGAGAGATGTAGTCAGTTATACATTTTCTGTGAGTAAAAGTAGATTTCTGGCAATACAGTCAATCATTATCCTAGTGATTATTTCGCAGATAAACCTATTAACCCCGCCCCCTTAAAAAATAAACGGCTCTTTTGAACGGCTCTCGGAAAGGAACGGAGCCTCCAGCCGGGATGTTTTGATTATGTTTATTGTTTAGAATATATCAGCGCTCCCTGCTGGTGTTCCAGAGGTTTGCAAGTGCAATACAAAAGCTTTGCAGTCTTTGGTGCACATGATTGGACAAAAGGATTTGAGACACAGAAAGAAGATATCAAAGTCAGTCAAGAATAGAACAATAGAACAATTCATGAAAAAGCATTTTATATAAAAGATTGAGCATTGGGTCACATTCAGTCATTTTACAACATTAGTAGTTAATGCTTCACAATGAGGTATCTATGGAAAATTCTCCTTTGCTGTTACTTAAAAGACACTTAAAATCACAGGTACATTTTAAAATGTATGCATTTTAGACAAGATAACAATTTGGCAAACATATAGATTGTAAATCACAAACAGTATCACATTATTGATAGAAACAAGTATCACATTGTTCATTGTTCTTTTTAACAAAGTAAATAAAAGAAACACCCCCTTTTTCCAAGCAACATCACATTAGTGTATGTGTTAAAAAGCCAGTGCCAAGTTGCATAAACTACCTTGAGTTTCAAACTTAAGTTTGTCCCATAGTCAAATATTATTCTAATCTCAAGTGTTCATTGATAAGAATAACACTCCTTGCCCAAGTGTTCAGACTAAGGCTTTCATGGTCTGTAATCGTAGTCGTAACAGTTGTAACACAGCACAAATTTAACTTGAGTTACAATGGTTAAGCTTCAATCACATGATCATCCTTTAACATTACTTTTCAGCTTTATTTTCAAGGTTAGCTGTACTACTCCAAATGGAAAGCAAAGATAACACGAAAAGAAAGCGAAAACTGTGCAGAAGATGAGCATGTTGTTTACCAAAATGTTTAATATAATACGAGATTGAAGATTAAATCTATACTCTTTCAAAAGTACCACTTTGCTCATTATCCAGTGTGCTCTGATATCTCCTCTCCAATCACCAAAAATATGCAATGGTCTTATTTTCTACACATTACTTCACACTAGATTGGTATGGATCCTTTTAAAATGGCTACTAAGGACTCTTAGCAAAACATGAGTAAATACTTAAATTGCTAAGTACAAACACATCATAAGACGATCCCTGTGGTGATTTAATGCAAATTTAGGGCAACCTTAACCTAAAAGGTTTGTATGCAACTGTGCTGAGGAGACCAGTGCAGAAGGTGTATGTGATCACTGAAGGAGGAAGGTTTGCAGCTACCTAGACCAGCCTTTCTTTCTGTGAAAGAAAAAGTATTCATTATGAATGTCAGTTGTGTCAAAGAAATACAATCAGTATCAATAAATACATGTGTGCAATTTGTTCATGGTGAACAAAAATAAAAATAACTTTGATTCATTAACAACCGAAAAGGCAGAGCTTGGCACACATAGTATTAAGACAGCCTTCTGCTCGCTCCCGTCACTTCCACTGCTCCACATTGTCCATGTAATCCTCCATGGTGCCGTTCTCATCCTGGTCCCACCAGTCTGGGAGCGGCACCTCTGACGCCACATTGTCCCCGCCAGCCTTCCCCCTCGGTGGCCCCTCAGCGCCTGCAGAGCTGCTCGCTGGCTGACGGGGGGGTTCCGTGGGCTTCAGCAGCCTCCCTTGCTTTGTCGTGAGTCTTCCACGGAGCCGCCTCCTCTCCTGCTGCCGCCTCGCCCTGGCCTGCCTGCGCTCCTGCTGCCTCGCCACCTGGAAGCGCTGCAAGAAAAGGTCACGGGCGTACTCGTACAGCTCTACATCCCATCGGTTCAACTGGAGGATTTTGTGTTGTGCCTCAGATGGGACATCAACGCTGGAGGCGCGTGTGCCGTTGAGCTGCGTGAAGGGTGCAATGAACTCCAGATTGAAGGTACGCTCAAACAGATACTGGGTTTTACGCTGGTACTCGGTCAGCCCAAAGAAGGCCATGCCTCGTAGGTTACGTTTGGCGCTCTCCAGAAGCAACGCCCAGCGCTCGTCGTCGCTCATGGTGGAGACGTTGTAGCAGCCCACCAGGCTGAGGTCAGCCAGCATGCGGGTCTGCCGGTTGTTGGCTAGGTTGTAGGGGCAGTCCATGAACTCCTGCAGGGAGCAGCCGGACCAGTCGTCCCCTGAGTAACAGCTCGGCAGCTCAGACAGCGTCGGTGAACGTCCATCACACACGTGTAAGGACGCCCTCCATGTAGCCCCCCGCTGCACGTGACGCCACTCACTCAGGAAGCGTGAAACTGGGTCTCTTAAGATGGTTATATAATAATAGTTTCTACTGTAAAGAAAAAAAAGATGTTAGTACTGTGATGGGGTTGTAACCATAAACTTATGTTGATAATAACCATGATATATCAAATATGTATATAAGTACCTTGTTAATAATACACATATGGTAAAATGTTGTTAGGACTTGCCGATGTTTTGTTCATCTGTTAGCCCTTTATACTATTTATTAATGTAATTGGTATTTTTGTATGGTTATTTTTAAAGATTTAAATGTTTTATTAAAATAATAATTAATCTGTAGATTATTTGTTTAACTATTGAAATAAGCATTTGATGTACTCATCATTGTGCTTTGAAAATCAATCGGTTTGATTAAGTATCTAAAGCAAATCATTGGTATGTGTGAAGTAGGTAAGTAAAAAAAAAAAAAAGAGACTTTGTGATAAGCGAATGCGAGCTGAAACGATTAGTACATTGATCGATTAATTGATCGAAGAATAATGATTCCTTTTGACTGGATAAACATGAAAAAAAGAAAGAAAAAAAGTTTGGGATGTAAGGCAAACCACCTTGTTTATGACCAAAACTAGGTTGGCATTTTGTGTGATTAACTGGAAAACAAATAAACAAATCAATAATGTTGATCACTTTGTTACCTGGGCTGTGTCTCGGGAGCCTCTCGTGAGTCCATGCGGGACGGGACGCAGCTGGTCAGCTCGGTCCAGTCCGCGTGAAGCCCGCAGCTCCATCCGGTGGAGAACCGGGAGAACAGCCAGGTTTCCCTTTTACCTGGCCGCAAACAGGTACACTTCTTCTGACCTGCGTGGCACTCGCAAGGCCTTTCCAGCTGGATATTACGCACCAGGTGTCGACCAAACGTGGTGCCACCTGTTTTCTGAATGTGCAGAAACACTATCACATCATCCCCTTTGATGTTGAAGTCTACACCACGATTTAAATCGGCCTGGGTGAAATTGAATCGGGGGATAAAGCGAACCAGGGCACCATCTTCTGCGATGTACGGATCCCTTTGCAGCCCGTCCTGGATTTCATTGCCCCCACCGCTCCTGGAACCAGTTGCAGCCCCGTCTTTAAACCAGGAGCCCAGGTGGTGCAGCATCTGGCACTCAGACCTGCTGGGGCACACATACTGGGTCATAATGATGCCAAAGAGCAACACCATGAGCAGGACGATCAGGACCCGGTGGTGTCTGATGCTGCTGCTGGACCTTTCATCCATTTTCCCGGTACGGACAAAACAACATCACCCGGGCTGGCCGGACCCCTGTCTCGGCTCGGCCGGCGGACCTCGGGGCATCTGCTTTATGGACGCTAGTGAAGCGAAAACAATAACAATGCAGTTGCTAATGCTAGCAAGCTAACGGCAGCTAAACCGAATGAAACTAAGATAAACGTAAATATAAAAACCTCATGTACTGTCTGTTGTATCTTATAAAGCAAGAATCACGTGTCTCGTGTGAAATCACAAAGTATTTTCCTTCAGTCGGATAAGTTAGTTGTATAAAGTGATAATCTTTGTTGCAGCAGTGAATCCGTGCCTCGATTCTTGACCTTTCTTCCCAGCAGCCTCTGCGCTATGTGGGCGTCAAGACTACGTCATGGTATGGTATGCTCCACAAATGATCCAAATGGAGGCACAATGTTAACCTAAAACACTGGTAAATGTTCTATCCACGCTTTTTTGTATGTCACAGTAGAGTATGTAGTATTACAAAATCAAAAAAAAGTACGCTTACGTTATGTTAGGTGACAATAAATTTTAGAATTGCGAAATCACAGTTTCACGGCCGAAATAGCTCAGTTGGGAGAGCGTTAGACTGAAGATCTAAAGGTCCCTGGTTCGATCCCGGGTTTCGGCACTGTTTTTGGCACAGCAAACAAACCTGGCATTTACCAGTTACAGTGCATATCATGTCAGGAATGTGTTGGAACTTGATTGTAGCAGTTCAATTGCTTTTTTGATATCCTTTCAAGTACTAGGAATTGGAAAAAAAGAGTTAAGATACCATAACGTGGTGATTTTTAGGGAAATATGTGTCACAGATTTATCGATAGACACTGATAGAAGGATGCTTTATCAGTAGAATGGGTGGGGAATAGTATCATGGATGTTTAGAGGGATAGTCTGGATGCCATCTACAGAGAATACTTTCACCACAACTCCACCCACATTCCTTTAGCTTTGGCATCCAGTCCGGACCCCCTCCTGAGCAATTCAAAACAGTTACTTAAAATGCAGTGTTATCTTTTCTTCTTCTAGTGCCATTATTAGCCCGGCTGAGTCTAAACCATGGATGTATAATAAGAAACATGCTTCTAGCCTAGCAGATGAATAATTTGCAAGTCTGTGTGTTTGCAAGTAAACCAGCTTGTCTGGGAAAACATTGCTCTTGTGGCGACTGATTTGGTATATTTAATACTTTTTTATTTGTTTAGATGAGTGTTATTTTGTACAAAGTTAGACTCTTGTATTGAGTTTCTTCTGAAATAAATTAAGAAACCCACTCTGAACACCATCGTGCTGTCCAGGGGCGTTTCCTGGACCTGGAAACATTCGGGGCTTAGCGGGTTTAGCCCACAGTGGCAGCGCCAGAGATTTTCTTTTGGGGGTGCTGTGGGGTAGCTTGACGTTTAGAGGGTGCTCAAACATGTAGGGCTTCTCATTAAGGTACTGGGCACTACAGTGGAATTTTCTACTGCAACACTCCCCACACGCACATACACATCCGCGACTGTTAAAGGCCTTACAATGAAGAATATTGAAGTTAAAGTATCAATCTGGTGCACTTTGAGAGCAAAATTAAGAGATCTATGGATACATCTCTCAACACCCATATGAAGTCTGCAGGGGGATTATTTCGTCTCCTGCACGAGCGGATAAAAAAGAGGTCAGTTGGTCAGATTCTTTATATATACAGTCTATGGTCAGATTACGTCAGGTCGCCGTGGCTACGTTACTGTTGGAGGAATTTCCAAATGATTGTCTGTGGAAAGATGTGTCACTCTGCACAATATTAAAGCAACCTCTCAGGCTAAAAATCCGTAATAACAGAATAAATGCAAATACTTGTAAAACGTGTTTTTTGGAGAGGAACAAAAGTTGCCAATCAAATGTATAATACCACCGTGTATAAAATACTCTGTTACACCAACAATTGCAGTAATAAACTAACTGAAGTAAAAGTGCATCGGTAATTGCATTTATACAGGTTATGCAAATGTATTACTTAGTAAGAAATTAGTGGACATATAAAGAAGCATACAATTAAAATAGTCGTATTAAGTAAAATTATTTTTAAACTCTGAGTAGTAGTACCACTACGTTTTTTTACTTTATAAAATTGAACAGTAATAATAATTTGTCTTTTTGTTTGTTGTTTTTCCCTGCGGAGTGAGACCTCACCTCACAGAGGGATGTTGTTGTGCAACAGCCGGCGGCCATGACTCGGTCCCCGCCCTGAAATCTTTAAATACCCACAGTGAACCGTTATATGAGAATACACACACACACACACACACACGACACACCCAGTGATGTGTTGACATTTTCCATTATTTTTAAACAACTTATAACTTCGCCGTTTAGTTTTGCACCATGGAGCTGGACCGGCGGCTGCTGCTGGCTCACTGTGCCGCTCACGCCCTCTCTGTGGCGGCCGGGCTGCTGGTGGTCGTCCCCATGGCTCTGAACGGATCCGCGTTTAAAGGCCGCTGCGCACTCTTCTCCACCGGCTTCTGGAGGACGGAGGACCGGGCAGAGCTGACGGGGCAGCCGGGGGACGTCTCTCAGCTGGTGGTGCAGCAGTGGGGGCCTCCGGCTGCCTGCCAGTTCGCCACATTTGTCGGTATTTTCACGGTGCTGTACGGGGCAGCGCAGGGCTGGAGGAGCCTCTTCTATCTGCACGGAAGACATGATGAGTGAGTACCACATTAAATAATAACTGCAGCACTGACCTGATTATACTGCACTTACTTCTATTATTGAGGTAATTATTTGAGTATTTCTATGATAGAACTTTGGCATTTGACTCCATTACATGTATCATAATCAACAGCAGTGGTGTAAAGTAGTAAGTACATTTGCTCAAGTACTGTATTTAAGTACAGTTTTGAGGGCTAGTTCTTGACTTTTGCTACAATTTGGAGGTAAATCTTGTACTTTTACTTCATTACATTTATCTTTAGTTTGCAGTGTTGGATTTATGATGTGAAAAATAATCAATTATTTAGTTACACCTGGAGTATCCTTTAAAAAAAACTACCCTGCAGTATACAAAGTCATCCAAATGAGCTGCACCATTAACCAGCTTTGATAACACTCTAATGCATCAATAATTATATTAAAAACGTATTATATAAATGGTTCTCAAATGGGCCAATCTGCATAATGACTAGCCTACTTTTACTTTCGCTACTTTGAGTATATTTGAATACTTTTATTACTATTTTGATTGCATTACTTTTACTTGTAACAGAGTATTCTTACACTATATGAATAGCTGCCAGTAATGGAGGTAATGCATTTAGTCTTTTTTTTGTTTATTTAACTTATGTCTGATGTGTGTCTGTGTGTTTCTGCTTAGCACCCTGTTTTCATCCTTCCTGACGGTTGTGCTGAGTGTGTGTGTGCTCTTCCTGTCCGGAGGGGCCAGTGTCATCTTGTCTCTGGGCTTCTACTCCTGGTGCGACACCGTGACTAATCTCAACACACGACCATACAGGTAGGCACCTTGTCTGAGGGTGAATCCCCCTGTGTGCAGAGCTGAACAACAAGAAGAATCTTCTGTACATACTGTGTCAAATCCAAACAAATCAAAAATACAGTGAACATTTATGAGTGTTTTTTGTGATAATTTCTCATTCCTTCATGTTTTGTTGTCCAGCTGTGCAGAGTCCCAGTCTGTTCCACTTTACCTGGATGTGGACACCTCATCTTTTTATACAGAGCTTAGTCTGGCACAGGTAGGAGCATTCTCAAGTTTACACCCAGAGGAAAAAACATAAACAATTTGTTCATCAGTGAGATAAAGTCATACCCACTATTCAACAACAAGCCTCTTCAACAGACAATGTATCTTTTCATAAAATACAGAAACATGATACTGGAATATTCTGTGCTACAGCATTCATTGCTAACATTTAACAGATAGTATTCTGCCTTCATTTCCCACCCTTCGGAGAGCCTCAAGGAGCTCTGGGGCTTTAAGGAACCTTGCTTGCTTGGGGGGCTTCAGGAAGATACAAAATGAATTAATGAGGCCGTTTTATAAATTGAAATAATTCTGGAAAGAAATTGTCCAATTTATCTTAACTTCTAATTTTCAGTTAAAACACAGAAGAGCTTTAGAGCTGTGTCCATCTCCTTCACAATAATAACTTATCGGATTCAGAATATTATCGCAAAATATAGTATTATTCACAAGTTACCTCCACTTTATTAATATTATATAACATATATAGAATAAGTCAGAATACACTGTAAAAGACTACTAGAAGAAATATAAACACAAGACACTTCACAATACAAACATGTAAAGAAGTTGCCGTTGTTTTGCCATTTTGAAGGGTACTTATTCCTCAAAAGTCTTACCCCTGGATATTTCCTGGCGATTTAGTTTTTCTAAACCCATTTTTTGCAGCTTTCCACACAGACGAGCATGCGTGGCCTTGATGTTTTCTTCATGTGAGTGTGACTGTAAGCTTTATTAATCACACCTCTCCTCAGGTGTCTCTGTGGGGAGTGACGGCTCTGTGGCTGGCCCACTCCATCCTGGCCTTCCTGCGGCTCTACCACTCCCACAGCCAGCACATCAGCGGGCCCTGTGGCCCCCGAGAGAAGGAGCTGCTGCTGAGACACAGTCTGTCCGACAGCGGCTCCCCCACACCTCCCACCGCCGCCACTCCCACCATCTTTGTCTAACTGAGAGGTAGTGATACCACATGATGCACCCTGCTGTCAAAAATACGTTTTAAACGTCATTTCCCCCCTTATCACTACTGCATGTAGAATATGGGCATGAAAGTGTTTGATTAATTTAATATAATTCATACTTCTTCATCTTATATAATTTAAAGTGATAAACAGTATAGGAGTTGATATCAGCTGATAAATAGCAAAATGTCAGTATAGAAATGCCAAAGATTTGTTTTATCCATTATAGGATAGCACTAACACGTTTCTGTTTAGCATCCTGGAGGCTGTCAGGCTGTATTATAAATTACAAGATGTTGAGCATCACTAAAACACCACAACTTCAGTTTCTGCCATGTATGTTCGATTACATTTGAGCCACAGATCTAAACATCTATTTTTCTTAATCCTTAAAAAAAAAATGTGTTCTAAAATCCTCAAAGACTCTTTTAACCATTTGGATGAAAACAAACCCGTCACTGCACAATAAAGATGCTCATCTCATTTTAGAGTGCAGTTAAGAGTAACCAAAGGTTGAATTATTAGACATTTTCAGCATTTAAATCCAGCTTTGGCCAAAAGAACGACAGAAGATTGAAACCGTTGTCAGTACGAGAGTTAGGGAAACGCATCCTGATATACTTTGGTTTCTTATTTAACAGTTTATGTTATAAATGATCAGATGTGATAGAATAATACAGGTACAGTTAGTATTTTGTGTACACACCAATCATGTGTTATGTATCTGTACATACACTACATGTGTTGCCAGTTTTCCTTTCTACTCAAATGTAAACACCACACAGAGTCCTCCCACTTTTTGCATGTGCGACCTGTGAGGGAGGCCAGTGATTGTAACTTGGTGTCGCTTCTTCTGGTTTCACAAAGATAATGTTAATGAATTACTCTAAATATTTAACACAACACAAGCAATTTAGTTAGGCTAAGTATTTCGGAATAATGTGTGAGAAAGGTTATTTCCTTTTGTTCCCAAATGGCCCAAATTGAATGAATGCAGCATTACATAATGTATGTATTAGCTTGCTTTGTTATGCATGACAAAATATCCATGCAGAATGGCTTACATATGTCATTTCCACCTACATGTTTTTGTTTTCATCTTGCAACAATATTATATATATATATATATATATATATATGGTTAAAAGAGTCTTAAATAACTTTGAAAATTCCCTCCTAACTTAAACAATCTGTGGAAAGTTTATTTTCGCTGCTGTGTAAAGGTGATACATGACAGCCACTAACTGACACATACCTCAAGTAAAATGGGATTTCACAGAACGAAAAAGACACACTCATTAGAATAATTAAAGCAGATGTATTCAATTATATATTAACCACAGTGTTCAAATGATCCTTGTCATTTGACGGTGCATTAATAATGCAGTATAGTTCATTCAAATCACTGAAACACCACGAGCAACCAGATGGTGTTTTTCCTTCAGTCCTTGTTAAATATATTCAGTATGCATGGTTGTTTACATTGCCTCTGGAGCCTGACATTTTTGCACAGTTGTTACTCGTCAGGGAGAATACACTTTGTTTGTTCTGAGTGTAATATTCAGATGTAGCACTGAGGCGCTTTTATTGTGGAGAAGCATGTGGTGACAGTGTGACGGAGCCACGAGTACCAGGCTCACTGTGTGAGCATGACCCAAATGTTCTGTTGTGTAACGGAGAAATCACTGCTGACCCTCTCTCTTCTTGTGACGATTTCTATCATGATGCTGTTTGTCTGGACGCAGCCGCTCAGGGCGTAGATGGAGCAATCAAATAAGTGATGAGAAAAGAAGTTACTACCTTTGCTGATTGTCTAAAACAAATGATTCAAAGTTGTTTCAAAACTTCTCTCCTATTATCGTCACCCAAAGTGGCTGTAATGAAACACAGATAGCGGAGAAAGAAATCTGAAGTACAGAGAGAGGAGACAGTAGTGAAGTTGAATTGTAATATATGAAATGTTTTTGTATTATAACTGACAATGGTCTTGCTTTTTTACCTGTTTCGGCTTGTTCACCTTTTTGCATTTGTCTTGTTTGTCCCATCATGAAAAGAATGTCTCCACTCATAAATATCAAAATGAATACTGACTGTAACATTTGCCTTTTTTATACGTGGAAAATGTAGGCAGACTGTGACATGATTTATTTGTCTTGCCTTTCAAAGGAGAAACATGACCAGAACAAGAATATAAATAAAATACTGGAGATGATTAATTCAAAAAGTTTAAAGTATGTTAAGGATTACTTTCCTAATGCTTACACACGTTTTTACAAGTGTCATAGGACATTCATATTATCATAATCACCAAGTGTAATATATAATTAATCATATCACAAATCCCATTTCAAAGGAACACAAAAGTATGAAATTGGTTTCTTCTTATTTTAATCTCCGATACATATGGGCCATATTTCAACAGAAAGAGCAACTTTTTATTTATTTATTTGCCAATCATATGTTTACTTAAGAAGGAATTTGGATAAACTTTGACTGAGTATTTTTTTTAGTTGGTTCTGAATATTTCAATCACTGCAGAACAGTAGAGTCTGTGTACCTTTGTTTCAGTTGTTTTTCTTTCTTAAACCAGTAAACAGAAAAGGGACTCCAATGCGTTTTGTTTTTTTGCATTACTGAATGGTCAAAGGATCAGAGAGAGAGACGATTGTATAGAGAGAGAGAGAGAGAGACCGACCAGAGAGAAGAGAGAGAGAGAGAGAGAGAGAGAGAGAGAGAGAGAGAGAGAGAGAAGAGAGAGAGAGAGATAGAGAGAGAGAGAGAGAGATAGATATAGAGCGAGAGAGAGAGTATAGAGAGAGATAGAGAGAGATAGATATATATCTCTATAGATATCTATCTATATCCTCGTATATGATATATAGATATATATATAGATGCTATCTAGGATATAGAGAGAGAGAGAGAGAGAGAGAGAGAAAAAAAAAAAAAGCAGAGAGATTTTGTTTAGACTCTGGCAAGCCTTCCAGGCAGTATTTTTTTATTTGTAACTTATTTTTTTCCCCCTGTTTTGATAAATGAGTCTCTCATTAAAATGACTTAAAGGTTCTCTTTATTTTGTTAAATCCTAATACACCCTGGCTCAATCTCATTGAGAGTAATGGCTTTCAACTGAAAATAGATTAATAAGGAAGCTGATGGCTCGGTGGGGTAGTAGTATGTTGATCTTTGGATTAGGGGAGCACTGGTTCCATCCCCACTGCAGTCGTCATGTTGTTGTGTCCCTGGGCAAGGCACTTCACCCCAGATGGCTCCTGTGGGGACTGCTCACAGTATTGAATTGTATGTAAGTTGCTTTGAACGCCGGTGTGAACGCAGCAAGTGCCATCAGGTAATTTAGTGTTACACAGCCAATACACGTGTAGTGCCGCTTCACACCGTGTGGTGGCTGCAGAGACTTCTGTGAATGTCTCATCTACCAATATTTACAGCAAAGAAGAAGAAAAGAGCCAATCACAGAGCAGGGCATCATATTGAACTGTTGTTTAGTTTCAAACAGCTGCTCTTCTCTTAAAAACAGTTTACTTTGAGTCTGTTTTTTGACTAAACTACAAACAGAAGCTGGCTGGATCTATTTTCACACGGTAACAATGAAGTTAACCGACATGAAAAAGCTGAAAGTGGCCGAGCTGCGGTCCAGACTGAAGGATCTCGGGCTGGACAACAAGGGGCTGAAGGCTGAGCTGCTGGGCAAGCTGTGGTCCGCGTTAGAGGCGAGACAAAGTCAACAATACGGTGATGAAAAGGAGGATAAACCTAACCTACTGAATTGCCGACCGATGACACCTTTAGCATCACCGGAGACGGTGGACACCCACCCTCCGTCCCCATCACCCCCGACAGGAGTGCTCACAGACACCGCCGCCACACAGACAGAGACTCCTCCCGGGCTGCCTTCAGCACAACACGGATCAGCCGAGAGTGTGGTGTCGGGGTGTCAGGCGGGGGAGGGAGAGGTTGAACATCTGCAGGGAGGTGCAGAGGGTCCTGAAGAGGACAGAGGGGCTCTGCCTTCAGAGGAGAGTATGAGCAGAGGGAGAGCTTTCTACGAGTTCAAAGAGGAGATACGATACGTAAGGTAACGCAAAGTAAGATTTGAGTTGTAGTTTTGTTAAGAACAGTGGTGGGAACAGTACATCTTGTATTTAAGTAAAAGTAGGAGTACCAGAGTGTAGGAATACTCTGTTACAAGTAAAAGTCCTGCATTAAAAATGTTAATCAAGTAAAAGTACAAAAGTGTAAGCATCAAAATATAATTAAAGTACCCAAAGTACTCATTATTCAGATTGGTCCATTTCAGAATAATGTATATCATACGTTTAGATTATAATTATTGATGCATTAAAGTGTTATCAAAGCTGGTAAAGGTGCAGCTAGTTTTAATCACTTTGTATTCTGCAGGGCAGCTTGTGAATGTTGTGTAAGCTGTAACTAGTCTTATTTAAGTGTTGTTTATATTTCACATCATTAATCCAAAGGTATTAAATAAATGTAGTGGAGTAAAAGTGCACGATATACCTCTGAATTGTAGTGGAGTAGAAGTACAAATGAGCAAAACATTAAAATAGACAAGTAAAGTACAAGTCCCTCAAAATTGTACTTAAGTACTGTACTTGAGTAAATCTACTCAGTAACTTTACACAACTGGTTTAGAATCATTTAAAAGCTTCAAGCCAAAAAAAATGCAATGTGCAAGAAAGATGAAATAAAGCAAAACAATGCTAAACTTGGTATTTAAAAATCTCTTTGAGGAATATATATGGAAAGGATGTTATAAAACAGTATGCTTCTCTATCCCTTGAAGAGCCAAATCACCACAACCTGCAGTGGACGGAGAGGAGACGGAGGAGGAGAGTGAAGATAAAGTCAGACTAAATCCATGTAAGTCTCTGGACTTCACCACCTTTCTGGTGAACGGACCTAAAACAGTCCGCACTTGGTCACAGTGTTTCAAAGTATGATTAGTTCATTTTGTCATAAGAGCGGTGCAGAGAAGTTTTTGAAGACTTTCTGTTCCCGTCCCCACAGATGACGGTCACCTCCACTTTAAGGAGGGTCCTGATGGGGCCTGTGGTCAGCCGCGGTTCTGGGCCCGATTCCCCTCGCTGTGGTCGGGCTGCAGGCTCACTCACGGGGTGCTGCAGGGCAGGGTGGGCTTTGAGGTGAGGCTGGAAAATAAGTTGTTTACTACACAGCCGCAGGAACAAGAGGACGTGGATCCCTGCGGCCTGAGAGTCGGCTGGTCTGTGGCCCACTCCTCTCTACTGCTGGGTAAGAGTCATCATTAGGTTCGTGTTTGGAAGTATGATTTAAACATAATTGAAACTGGAAACGTTTATTTTTTTAAATCCCTCTCTTCTATCGCCAATTGGCTTTATATCTGCCTCTACCAGGTGTGGATGAATTATCTTTTGCTTATGATGCACGAGGGAAAAAAGTGTCAGGTGGGAAGGAGGAAGAGTTTGGAGAACCGTTCTCAGTGGGGGATATCGTCGGCTGTTATGCTGTGAGTAACACTTATCTTGAATTCTTTCTCTATTCACATTCTTTGAAACTTTACTATCTTGTCACCGAGATCTGAATTGTATTTGTTCTAATCCCGACTCTGTGTATGTCGTGTTTACACATGCATGTTGTCAGTCATTCTCTTCAGACGGTGCTGTTGAGCTCTCTTTCCATAAGAACGGTCGTCTCATGGGTCAGGCTTTCTCCCTGGACGCCTCCCTGCTGCTGGCTCGCCCTCTCTTCCCTCACATCCTCTGTAAGGGCTGCTCAGTCCGATTCCTCCTGGACCCCACAGCTCCTCCCTGGTACCCCGGCCCTCCAGGGTTCACACCGCTGGCAGCTCTTTCTGCTGGGCAGAGGGAGCGTGCAGCCTTGCCTCCTACATCCAGAGCACAGGGCGAGGTGAGAGACAGGAGCTGGGTTTCCAGACAAAGTAATACATGCAGAGTTATCACAAAGTGTTTTTAATGCATCCCTGTGACGGAAAATGTTGTTGTTGATGAACAACATTTTTAGACTGACATCCACTCTTGAGCTATGACACTAGCATTGCTAATTTGTTTATTTTCTAGCGCTGTACCGAATAGTACGGAGCTTCAAGGCTTCATTCATAAGTTATTATTACATATTAAATATCTAAGAATCAAACTCCTAACAACAGCGAAAGTGCAGATATATTCACTTCAAACAAGATCTTACCAACAGTAAGTGCTGGTGAATCAGATACAAGGCCTAAATTAATTCAACAAATGCAATTTATTTTTGTTGTTGACGAAGTTGACATTCAGATTCTGTTCAGCTTTTTCTGCCCAGTTGCAGACAAAGATTAGGCTACACTGATAGTTTTTGTATTCTGATACTGTTCCTTTTTTTAGAATGCTAGGATTCAAACATTTGCAAAACTCTAAATTGCTGCAAAGCTGCAGTACGTGGAGCTGCCTCAGGAACAGGCTCAAAGTATAGCTGTAAAAAAACGACATCCGGCACAGGAAATAAGTAGTCATTACAAGTTGTTACATTTTCATCTCTTGTTTTTCCCTTCAGGTGTTGTTGATGGTTGGTCTTCCTGGTTCTGGGAAAAGCCACTGGGCCCGGGCTCACATGAAGCAGCACCCTGAGAAACAGTACAGGCTGCTGGGCACAGAGGAGCTGCTCGCATGTGTGATTGTCAGTCAAACCCCCAGTCTTTACTTTTGTTAAATATTCCAATTTAAATATAATGTTCAACTTATGACCAATTTATCAACAACAACAAAAGAGTAACCCATGTGTGTGTGTGTGTGTGTGTGTGTGTGTGTGTGTGTGTGCAGAGCGGTGGACAGAGGGAGAGCTGGCTGCAGCAGGCCTCTCAGTGTCTGACTGATTTGATCAAGATGGCTTCTCAGACTCCTGGCAACTATATCCTCGACCAGGTAACTCTTCACTGCTAAACACATTCATTCATTTAACTCTTGAACTTCAAAGGAGCCAGGGAGGGAATAATATTCAGAGGAAAAATGTGCAAGAGTCCGAAGTTTACTTGACAAAACTCACAAATCTATGATGTTATAATCTCAGTATTACATATTACATTTTTTATCCTTAATTTATCGATTTACTTTCAGTTAATTTCCACGTTTTCACCCCACTCTCCAAGCACCGTATTCTTTAAAAAAAAAAAAAAATCAACATATTTTCTTTTTTACTTCATTATTTTTTTCATAGGCATGTGGAATTTTCATTCATTGAAACATTGGGCTTATCAGTACATTTAGTTCCACCTCCTCATCTCAGTTATCCATTTTTCTCTTTGTCATCTCTGTTTCCAGAGCAACGTCCTCTTCTCTGCGCGTCGCTACAAGCTGCAGCTGTTCACAGGCTTCAGGCGCCGGGTGGTGGTGGTCGTCGTCCCCTCGGCGGACGAGTGGAAAAGACGACTGTCTCTGCACCGGACGAGCGGGGGGGAGCATATCCCTGAAACCCCCCTGCTCAAACTGCAAGGTGGGACTTTTTCAGCAGTAGTAGAAGTATAACTATAACAACAGGATGGTTCTGTGGTAATGTATCCCGAGACGTGGGTCCAACTGGTGCAAATATGAAAGGCGTTTCATTTCGGATGAAAAGTTTTGAATGAATAATATTTGCATTTCAATCATCTTCTTATATCTTTATGACTCTTTCAAGCCACCCAAACGTCACTTAGAGAATCAAGGGAAAAGGACCAAAACTGAGTCTACATTATTATGTACTTATGTAATTCAATGCCAACATTTCCCCTTTTTTTCAGTGAATGTTGGCAACATTTTTACTGAAGTCAAAATCAACTTGCTGCACACAAAGGGAAACATGCACCTGTAATAACATGGCGGCCTTTCAGCAACCTAATAGCACTATTAATCACAATTGCGTGATGATTTCAGAAATAAGATAAGAGGCTTTAAACTCATTGTACATTTCCCCTCTGTGGGACGAATAAAGGTATTCTGATTCTGAATGGGTCCAATCCAGACTGAACATCACAAGCGCCTCATTTCTGTCTTGCTTCTACATCTTAAACTTGTTTTCTTGCCTCCAGTGATGTTCAGACTTCCAGAGCAGCAGAGCCAGCTTCAGGAGGAGCTGCAGTACGTGGAGCTGCCTCAGGAACAGGCTCAGGCGCTTCTGCAGGAGTTGAGAAACGAGGCTCAAAGACTGCTGCCCCCCAGCCTCAAACAGGAGAAGAAACCCCGACTTCACAGGAAAAGACCCCACCCTCATAGGCCTGCAGCTTCACATAGACTTCAGTCAACTGGATGTCATGGTCAGCATTAAATATGTTCAGCAGCATGTTGGGAGACTTGATATTTTAAGATGTTAGTTTAATTCTTTGTGATCTTTGATGTAGGATGGAACCAGACAAGACCCGATATGCAGCCATGGAGGCAGCAGCCGAGATATGTGAGTGTTATTAGGCTGTAATTCCTATGCCTTGTCGTTAGCTTAACTGCACTTTTAAGGCCGAGTTTGGATGTTTTGGAAGTAGGGTTGTTTGAGTTAAGTATCTATTATACTGTTACCTACAGTTGTAGACCAATGTTGTGACAGGTAAAATGACTGTTTTTGTCAAAGGACCTAATTGTTGTGTCCTGTCTCTTGTAGACATCTTCTAAGTTCAGTACAAATTAAGATCTTTAAACTTTTTTATTCTTACTTAACTAACTTATTTAGTATATTGTAGGAATGACCATTGTTAGCTGAAAGATGATAAGTAACAGCAACGCTAACCTGATTTCAGAGCGTAAACTAAATCATTTCATGTTATTTACATTTCCTTTCAGTGGAGTGGGCCTTATCAGCAGCAGGGCTCCTACTACAGAGACAGCGGATACAGCGGATATGGAGGTTACTGCTGAAGAAACCTGGAGCAAGAGGAAACAGGCCGATGCACTACAAGTGTTTACACGGACAATTAAGGATGTCATTTGAATAAAAAGAAAAAGGGCTAAATACACCAGCAAATTATATTATACACAATACTTCAGATTACAGTACACATTGCACTCGGTGCTTTGACAAATCAAGGATAATCAGTGTTGTAGAATTTCATAATTTTAATATTGACAACCAGGTCACTTTTTAGGAGTTTTTATTGAAGATATTCTAAAAACATTGTGCTTTTTTAAAAAACAACTGTATTTTGCACATTTTTAACACCAGTGTTGTTCAGAGAGTGCCTTAAGTCAGAGTAATAATAAATACTCTAAAAGGTTTGTTTTTTGATGTGTACACTTAATCATCTGGATCTCTTTTCCGATGCGATCGGCTGAGCGTCAGGTTGTCTCTGTCCTCGCTCACTGTCAGGCCTCACCGTCTGATACAGCAGCACGGCTCCTTTAGCTGAAGGACACAGCTCCGCCCACAGAGGGCTGCTGATGTCCAGCTGCAACACCTCCTGCACATTCAACAGAGGGAACAAAATGCATTTCTTTGTATCTTGGTCATGTTCTCTACTTTCCTCCTAAGGCATCTGCCAAAATGAGTTTCCCTGCAGATAATTAAGTATATCTGTCACTATAGATTACTCACAGTTCTGCCGAGGAAGACAATATCTGTGGACTCATGGGCCTCCGCTCCTCCTTTCCAGTACAACTTTCTTACTTCATCAGATGTCAACGAGCAACTGAGGACACACACATTTCACATTATATCTTTATAAAACAATTTGAGGCACACTTCCATCATATCAAATCAGTACTGAAGGTGTGTGTACCCGACGTAGAACTCAGCACTAGGTCTGCCGGCGCTGGTGTGATTCAGAGCGACACCCATCAGGACCGGCTCTCCAAGGGAGCTCAGAGGAATATTTACCTGTGGACACACAAAAAGAGAAGTATGATATATTTCAGCCTCTGTTTAGTTTGGTTTGTTTCATGCCACTTTGGACATACAAACTTTATTTTTATTCAATTAGGTCAGCTCGAGTTTTATCAATGAAGTAACTAAACATTAACTTGACATGAAATCAGTTTACAGTGGACTCTGTTCCCACCTCGTCTCTGATCTCGGCGCACACAGACGAGAACAGCTCTGAGACGACGGGCCTCTGCTGCATCATGTCCACGCTGATCTGCTCCTCACACACCGCCTGGCCCAGCCGCTCACACACCACCTGAGGGGGGGGGGGGGGGGGCATCAGCAGTAAGAAAATATATCACCATTATTGAACCGGACTACTAGGCGCATGGGTCCAAAGTGTCCGGGGCACCTTCACCTGCAAAATGTCCCTCAAGGAGACCAAACCAAAAAAAGAGACAAAACTACTAAGAGCAGCAACTCGACCAAAAACAGATACAAAATACTTTGGAAAAAGTAAAAAAAGAGACACAAAATTACCAAAAAGGGACCCTAAAAAGCCAAATAGACACAAAATGTCCACAGAAAAACAAAACCACCATAAAGACACAAAGCAACTATTAAGGGACACAGAAATACCATTAAAAGACACAAAATGACCACAAATGACTATGCACACATTTTCTGTTAAACACCTGAACTTTTGAAAGCACATCCATAGGCCTCAATTAAACGCCTGCAGCTAGTCCAAAACGCAGCTGCACGTTTGCTGACTGGCCACAAAAAGCGTGACCACATCACCCCAATTCTGGCCTCACTACACTGGCTTCCAGTTCGGTTCAGAATTGATTTTAAAATCCTTTTATTTGTTTTTAAAGCACTAAATGGGCTGGCTCCGGCCTATATAGCTGAACTCCTCTAGCGCTACACCCCAGCCAGAGCTGTAAGGTCTGCTGACCAGCTGCTGCTGGTAGTGCCCAAGACCAGGCTTAAAACCCGAGGGTACCGAGCCTTCGCAGCAGCTGGCCCTAGGCTCTGGAACACTCTGCCCCTCCATGTGAGGTCGGCCCAGACCCTAGGGGTTTTTAAATCTACACTAAAAACACACTTCTTCTCTCTGGCCTTCTAGTTAGAGCGGAGCACGACTCTTGACTTTTCCTTGTGTTTTATTTTTATTTTTTATATATATCTGTTGTAATTTATTGTCTTTTATTGTGATTGTAGTAATGTGTTTTTATTACATGTACAGCACTTTGGCTCGACCAAAAATCGCTTTTAAATGTGCTTTATAAATAAAACTTGATTTGATTTGATTTGATAACATTCATCCGTTTGCAATTTACAAATTATGTATCTAATATATCATATTCCAATTACTTGTATATAGACTCTCCTTGCACTATTCTATTTTATTTGTATTTACTTGCACTATTTTAACTATTTTATCTGTTTTATTGTGTTGCACTGTTGGAGGAGCCTGTGACCTAAGATTTTCATTGACATATCTACACTGTAGCTATGTACAAATGACAATAAAAGCCTTGAAACTTGAACCACAAAGAGACCCAAAACAACCTTTGTCTCATAATGTTCCCATCACCAACATATCTAAAAGACCCTGCACAATATCTTCTTCACCTTCGGCTCTGGGTGCCCCCCGGGGATGTCCAGCAGTCCCCCGGCCTCCGCCACCTTCTGGCTCCTCCTGATCAGCACCACCTGTCCGTCGGCTGTACACAGGACCCCGCCCACGCCCAGAGGCTGAGCCAGCAGCGCCAGAGCATCCCCGAACTTCGCCTCTCCGCGCTGACGCAGCTCTGCCACCCGACACGACCAGTTGGTTCCCAGGTAGTCTTTGTAGCATGTGAGGCCGAGTCTCAGAGTGAGGAGGGGCTCGGGGTCATCTGCGTTGTTACTGAACATGGAGGAAGCTGGTGACAGTGCACTGACACTATCTGCACTTTCTACCTGATTCACAGCTCTGCTCCCTCTGTCCAAACTGCTCTGAGCAGCGTCATGCAGTGAATGTGTGATACATGACTTCTCCATTCTCTGTCTGGCTGGGGGTTCATGAGAAACAGAGGACGATGACAAGCAGAAAGAGTGGAGTCTGAATTTTGACCCGTTGAAAAGCCACGGCTCTTTGGACACTCGCTCTGTCCACACCTCCTCTATGTGACGATCTACAGCCGGATCCGTCTGCCTGTTGAATCTAAGAAGAGGAAGAGACAGAAAAAACAAGTTATCCTTTTCGCCCATTGACAAACTACTATATTTAAGGATAAGAATGGTGTTATCCATCTTGTTTCATTATTGTCAACAAATCCCATCACAATTTTTTACAATTTTACCAAAATATGAATCCCTTTATCTTTGCACCATTATGTTGTTTAATATGTTGTTATGCAATTGTGTCAAAAGGACATTTCAAAATGGCCGTGAACCGAGTTGCCACACACTTTTGCTCAGTTTTTGATCTGATAACTGAAGATCCAGATATCAGATGACAAGGTCCTAAAAATGTTGCTTGTAACACAAATAAAAAGTACTTTCCTGACAGATTCTGTCAGACAAAAACAACGCTCATGCTCAAAGAAGATTAACACTAATTTCTCTGGGTTTAAAAAAATGCAAGAATCATTTGTGATAATGGCAGTACACAACTCAACAATATATATAACATAAGTCTAGTCGTTTTTATACATTTGAATGCTAAAATGTTATTAATATACCTTCAAGAAGAGAGGCCGTATAATTATATTACTCTGTAGTTTTAACACATTTAAGAGTATTGTGTTATGATGCTCGTACCTTTCAGAGAGCTCCACCTGTACCTGGGCCTGCAGCAGACCCCTCCAGGCGGCACAGTGCAGCAGCAGAGACACCTCCGAGTCCGTCATCTCTCACTGAGGAGTATCATTGAAGTCTCAATGCTGCAGCTCTGCAAGTGTTTTTAAATGTTAATATTTCTATTAAGGAAACAAAATGCACAGAAAAGTAAGAGAAGTTGTTGATAAGCAAAGAGGTGAATCTGAGAACATTGAATAACTGTGTTCAGGTCAGGATGTTTGCTTCTTACTGCTCCTCCCTCCCCTTTTCATACACAATCATACACGCCAAGAATACACACACAATCACTGATTAAAGCTGAAGTCATTTTGATCACTCATTATTACGAGGGAAAAAACGTTGTATTATTCTGCACAGAATTATCAAAGAAGTCGGGGAGACTTGTCAATTTTCAATCTTTGATTTGATTAAAGATGTTATTAAAACCATTATAATCAAATAACCCTTGAAATATTAAAAACTTCTGCTGCTGCTTTGATCTAAAACTGAGTAACACCCCAATCTGTGATGTCACTGCAGGTGTTTAACAACTGTCAAAGGGCAAAACACCTGCAGTGATACAATACAGATGTTACATAGATGTCGTGGCACATCTTTTACTTGCAGTTGATATTTCACATACACAATTCAAGACTTTTGAGTCCTTCGCACATTTGTTTGTGTTAAATTCACTTTGTAAACATTGGCTATTATAAGCAAAACACTGTATGGCGGTATAGTGACTATTTAGATATCAGAATAGTACTTTTAAGAAACTATTTAGCATTAAAAAAGAATAAAGACAAGTCTATACACCACATTTAAATATACAAAGAACCTTAAAAGATAAAGCTAGGACAACGAATATATGACAATATATGGCAAACTACAGTGTATTATATTTTTTAAAGTGTATAGTTAATATCCTACGTTCTTATATTTAATGTATTTATTATATTTCTTTTGTCCACACATTTTCTGACCTGCTGGATTTTTTTCACTTTATTTATAAAGAGAAAATAAAAGATGAAAACATCTGCACTGACATCACCTGCTGGGCTATGGCCAGAAGAGCAGCTGGGTGCACCCAAAGACCAGTGTAACTATTCAATGTAACATGAACATACCATGAATTGATACAGCTTACTTTTCGTTTAACTACAACATTACCACTGTTTAGTTAGCTTCAATGTGGTACACTTTTTTAGCTGAAAACTTCAGACGAGCTAACTTACTTCCACTTCATATCCTGCAGCATGGGCACAGGCACCATGGACGAAGTGCCGATCGTGTCAAACCAATATGACCCCGTCTTTTTTATAGCATATAAATTAATTTAAGTAGTTTGGACAAGAATAATTATGATCTAAATGAAGGCATAAACGTCGTAGATGTTTAGTCTTACCTTCCTGAGTGAAAGCGTTTGGATGCAGAACAGCAAAGCTTTTCTTCCTCTTTTCAGACCCACTGCACAAAGTGTTCATTATCACCATCCAGTGACTACAGACAGAACTACATGTAAATGTCTCATATTTAGGTTTAATTTACTTAACAGTGTGAAATATAAACGAGTGCGCGTATTTTGTAAGAAGTGTGGATTTTAATTGCTGGGTTCAACATATACTGTCAGTGGTAGGATACATACATGACGTGTACCTCTGCAGGTGAAAACGGCAACAGGGTTAAATCCTGGAAACAAACACGTGCAGGAGGGGCGTGTTTGTGTTGTGTAAAGAAGCCGGAAATCAGCAATAACTTCCGATCATTATTTAAGACAGTAGGGTTGCGGTCGTCCATTAATGGCGCGTTTCCACTACACGGCCTCGCTCGGCCCCGCTCGGTATGGCTGGGCCGCGATTGGCCTCGTTAGGACCAGCTCACTTTATGGCGCGTTTCCATTACAGTTTAGGAACTGAGGTAGTATCTATAGTAACGCAGTGTAGGCGGAGCGACGCTGCTTAAAACTGCCGTGACGTCATCTTCAATGCGACACAATGGAGGATGTGGAGATGTGAAAGCGATCGTTTGCTTGTTTGAGGATCCATAGGGTAACCCTCAACTCAGTTTCCCAGCACAATGTCATTTATTATTTTTCAACTAGAAATCCATTTCAGTTACCGTAAGTGTGGACAGGATGACTATGTGGAACTTGATCTCCGGATTGGAGGCATGCTTGACATCCAGATAGACATGTGGAGAACAATTAGTCAGCACTTATTATAACAATCCTGCAGCCCTGTCACAGACCTGCAGACATGTTCATTGTACTGTTTTTGCACTTTATTACTTTTTTTGTTTAAATACAAACACAATTTGTTTTATGTCTTATATATATTTATGTTGCATTGTTGTAGGAGCCTTAGACTTACGCTTTTCGTTGCCATATCTACTGTAGCTACTGTGTGTATATATAAAGCCTTTGAGTCTAGAGAGATACTCACCCTGAGCCATGTACTCTTCTTTAATGGTGTTGCTGTTTAAGATGGACACACATGTGCTGGGAGGAATGGGGATGATCCTGGTGACTGTCTGACCAGCAGAAGGTGGTTTTTGGCAGTTCTAGTGTAACTTGTGGTGAAAACATTACTTTCTTTTGGGGGATTGTATCACACTGAACAGTTCTATTTGACATGTCATACAGAGTAGCAAAGCTGAAGATATAAGGCAAGTTGAGGACATACATTGTATATGTTGTCATGTGTGTCCGTATAAGATAGACAATCTGGTTTGTATAATGATTAACTTTAAACCGGACTTCAAGGAAATTAGGGTTCAAATGTTTCTTTCGGTTAAAATAAATTAGTGAATGAGCTCATTCTAACTGTGTGTAAGTGGTGATAGCATGAAGTACTACAGGCTGCTGCCGGCTCTCCTTCTATAGGCGTGTTCGGTCAAACACATGAGCACAGATCATGTGAGGTAAATAAATGCTGGAAATAATGAGCAATGGAATCCAGACAAAGTGCAGCACGTCCCCTGATCCATTTTGGCATCTATATAATTAATACTGTTAATTGCCTGATGTGTATGGGATTATATTGAACTAGTATAATGCTAGCAAAAGTGTGTATATTAGTATGTGAAGCTGTTTTATATAACATTCTTAATAGGGTTACAAAGTGTTTCAAATAATGAAGTGAATTGAAGAATGAATACATTATTTCAACCAACATGTTATTTCCATAATATGAATAACAAATGACAATTATTTATTAAATAACCTATTATAAACTCTTATAGTACACCAAATAATTGAATGTTAAAGCCCACACAGTCATAGCCTGGTGATATCAGACTTTCCTAAAATCAATCGATGGTTGTTCAGTCCTCTTACACAACTCATAATGATGTTATTACCTGATAACCTTTAACATTGATATACTAGTGCCTGAGTTGATGGGGTCCAAGCAAGCCCCCAGGAAGTGCGCCGGACTCAGATGAAAATATTCGTGCTGGCCAAACGGCGGTACTACACTTTCTTTTGGTTGCCAGGCCCGGAAACACTTTTTCCCATTGACTAACATTGGGAAAGAGTGGTCTGTAAATCGTTGGATAATTTTTTTTAAACTAAATAAACTACCCAGTATGAACACTTGTATAGCCCTTATTAGAAACATTCGTTCCTCAAGTTGTAAAAATGTGCTAATAACGTTATTCTGTGAGTTATTTCCCTCTGCATTATGAACGCGCATCTAACCCACGGGACCGCGCCGCCCGGTGTTCCGGATTAACTGGTTCCCCGATCAACTGGGGCACAGATGTGAGGGGCGTGGCCTTCGACTGAAATACACATTTTGATCGCTTCTTCTGTCGTTTACATAAATGTTTTGGTATATTTGGCTCGGTAGGAAGACTTTGATGCACATTCAGTACCAGTGTGTGAGGTTGTGGTTACGATGGCGATATCCGGACGCGAACAGCGAGGACTACAAAAAAAGAAACGAGTTGACTGGGGATGTCTGTTCAAAACATTGCGAGCTCCAATAAATCATTTAAACCAGCTATTGTTGCCCGATTTATCACTGAATATCGTTCCTAATGTGATACTAAGTCCATCTGAGACCTGTGTACACCTTCAGACAGCCTCCAAGTGAAGCACACGGTGTTTACTCACAGTTTGAAAGCAGCGTGCTGGAGAAGTCTTCATCTGTGTTAAACTGTGACCCGCTCAGGTAAACGGCGATCCGCCCAGGGAACTGGGACCCGCCCATGTGAAACTGTGATCCACCCAGGTTAAACTGTGTTAAGACTTCTGTGGCTATCTACCAGCGATCATGTTTAATATGAAAGACTACACACACAGTATTCTGCAGCACTCATCCAGATAAGATGTGACTGTTAACTCGTTTTACAAAGATAGCAGCAGAAATGTCATTGCTGCATGTGCAGGGATACTTAGACTTTAAAATGCTGATGGGTCATTAATGTTGGTCTCGGCAAACAATATTAGGAGTCCTCTATTCAAACGTAATATTCAGTGTGTTGCGACATGAAAATAACAAAAAAGTTCATGCTGGACTCAAACCCGAATCCCAATAGCAAAAATCACTCGAGCCCTGCGCTTTACTAGTGCGCCACGGATCTACTCAAAATGTTACACCACTAGACTTTAATATATTGCATTATAACCTTGTTAAAAAGTTCCAGAAAGATGCAACCCGACCATCATTTATTATGTGAGCGAATGTATCTACACTTATAATATACATATTATAGTAGGCATTTGCTTACAAATAGTATAGGCTACTGACTGAGGTCTGTATCAAGCCTCATTAAGACCCACCGAGATCAGATATCCTAGTTTATCAGCCTGCGAGCCCACATTATGTTGTGATAACTTTTAATTGTACATATAAATGTGTTCTAGTGCACACATAAAGTTCCAATATGCAAATCAGGCCATGTGTGTCGTTACATTTGCCATGCAACATTATGCTATAATATAATATTTAGCCTCACAATATAGACATTTTTAAACACAAACTTTTTAAATAGGCCCCCCATTTCCTGTTGCTATGTCTGCTAATGCAGAAGCTGATAGGATGTAAACCTGGATCAAAGCTGTTGCGCTAGAAACAGAATGCAATTAAAAAAAGGTTTATATTCTAGCAATACTGGCTGTCTTTTCTGTCTTGCGACAGACTCATCAAAATAAAATACTTTACAGCATAGGCATCACGTCCCCTATGGTGTGCTAAGGGCTAATTTTACATATTGCAACTATAATAACAGTGGCCAAATTCATGTTCTAATATGCAATGCAAGCTTTGCTTCTGTATAGTAGATAGACTTACTCATTAGTGTGACAGAAGGAAAGACAACAACAATGATAGTAATGATTCAGTATCAGCTTTATTTGGCATGTGTACACATACAAGGAATATAGCCTTTTTCGGTCCTGTTGGGATCCAAACCACACAGCGATGGATGTACAGAGAACAGACTGGATTATTGCAAAGTCATAATAATAATACATTATATACTGCTTTTCTTCAACTCAAAGTCGCTTTCATTTCATTTCAAATCTTTATTTATCCAGGTTGTATCCCATTGAGATCATTGATCTCTTTTTCAAGGGAGACCTGCTCAAGTAGGTTCCACATGAAACATTAAAAACATAAACAGAACAACAAAAGGACATCATACATTAGCATTACAGGGATTACAATTTACATAACTATCCACATGCACAGGTACCAACAGCTTCCGATTGAGTAGCATCCAACCGAGCTTTAAAAACATTGAGTGGCACCAGATTGCTCAGTTTCCATTTTAATTGCAGACTATTCCAGGACAGTGGAGCTGCGCATCTAAATGCTATTTTCCCTAAGACAGTCCTAGCAGTTGGCACATTTAATAAAACCACAGCATGCGATCTCAGGCAGTAGCCTCTTACAATTCGCCGTGAGATCAGGGAGCAGATGTAGGATGGAAGTTTCCCTAACATGGCTTTATATATAAAAATGTACCAGTGACTGAGCCTCCGTACAGTTAGCGACCAGCCCTTGCATACAGGGTACAGTGATGAGTTAATGCTTTACAGTTTGTCACAAATCTCAGTGCACTGTGATACGCAGCATCTAACTTGACCAGGCAATGGGCAGGTGCATTCATATAGATCAAATCACCATAGTCCAGCACAGGTCAAAAGGTCACAGAGACCTTTTACAGTATGATGGAGGGTAGACAAACAAGGACAGGCAAACAAATGAACATAGTAAAATAAAATAAACAGAAAAGGCAGTCAAGAGGAAGTTGATTGAGAGGGGGGGGGGGATTATGGGTAGACAGAGTTGAAAGTAAAAAGAGTAGAACTGGATCAGCAGCTCCTGAGGCAGGTTGTAGCCTCCTCAGGACTTGCATGCAGGGCAAAAATACTCCTCCTCTGTGGAGGGCAGTCCCATGCATCCAACATGATACCACATGATGCAGGTGGTGCACTCAATCTGACAGGGAAAAAGATAAATACCTTAGAATACTGTCAAACATTTTGTCAGGTTCACATCAATCATCCTGATTAGGATGTAAAATGAAGCCGTTTTAACTTCCTTAGACATTATTTCTTTACATAGTATGGCAATGGGTGTCAGATATAGGGTTAACATCTTAGCTGTGGTCCTTTCTGTTTGGAGTCTGTGGTATGTTCCTTCAGCTGCTCCAGTGCCCACCGAAAGTGCAAAGACATGCAAGTTAGGTGAATTAAACTATACATTTTCAATAGCTGTGTGATAGTGAGTGTTCACCCAGTGATGTTGAGGTAACCTATCCAAGGTGCATCCCAGTCTTCCAGCAGAAGGTTGGTCAGGACATGAGTTTCTCTACATACCCACGTATCAATGTCAGCCCCCGAGCTGAGCTCCCCACAAGCCCTGCAGAGCTGGGATAGGTCATCTGTAAACAATAAGATAATGTAGTTTAATGGCAATATAGACACATTCAAGTATACCTGGTAGAGCTCTGTATACCTGAATTTGTCACCAGAGACATTGCCATGTCCAGCCGCAACATGGCCACACCCTTCTGGTCAACAGGGTAGTCAACAGTTTGGCCGGACAATATCTGCTCTGCAAGCTAAAAAGTGTCCGATAAGTATAATTTGGAGCATTTTTTAATAATGACAAATAGCAACAGATATAATCAAATGTTTACCTTGCACACAAACACCCCGCATGATGCCGAGTCCTGTTGCTTGGGGTGAGCAACGGTTGCGCATGCCCATCTCCCTATTGCTGGAGTCTTCTTGCGGACCAATGCTCTACACACAAAACACACATTTATTACAGTTTGCCATTTTTAACATATGCCCAAGTCAAATCATTTTATTCAAGATCACTTGAATCCTGTTCAAGGACAAAAATGCTTGAATGACCTTTTTGTTGCTCCCAAAAGATGATCCATTGTGTATGAATACATGTATTTATCTAATGCACACATCAAAGCTGACATTTCATTCACCTTGTTACGTCCTTGCATTTTGCCATCTGGGCTTCTGTGGCCCCAAATGGGTCCAAGTACAGGGATCGCCTCTCCTTTAGGTACATGATCTATGGAAATGCAAATACTAATTATAACCAACCCCTACATCAGATAGTGTCATGGTTCCGTCTAGATCTGTTTACGTTGAAGATTACTTACAATCAGTGTCCAGTGTCCGTGGTGGCAGACTGCTCCAACTGCCACATCATGTTTTAACAGGTCCAACTAAAAACAAATATTATAATTCCAACAACTAATGTATACACTAACATAAGTATGTATTTGTATGTATGGACAAACAAACATACATATACACAAAATACATAGGCCTACTTATGTACAAAAAAAGAAATCATCCTACTATATAGTCCTACTCACACTTCTCAAAGAACCTTTGTGGGTTCCCTCCCAGACGATCTAAGAGTACAAAAATAACTTGTGATACAATCTCAATAAATATCAGTCCAATATTCTTTTGTTTTGTAACTTACCTCTCCCTCCAACCACTTCCCTGGGGCCAAGTCCATTACGTTTTGTGAGTAGACTTTATATGGCCCAAACTTGCACCACAGCATGTCCTTTCTCCTCCCTGTCCATATTTGTTGAATTACTGTAAATATAGCAATGGCAGTTATTTGTGAAATGCATCATTTGGAGTGTACTTTCTGTCTGTTTACTTACAAAGTTCAGGATTCTTTGGTGCCATTTCGGCGTCGCAGTCCATGGATGGAGGTGCCATTTGTGGTGTTCGTGTGGTGGGTGTTTGTGTGGTGGGTGTTTGTGTGGTGGGTGTTTGTGTGGTGGGTGTTTGTGTGGTGGGTGTTTGTGTGCTGTGGATGTGTGTCTGTGTGTTTGTGTGTTGTGGACCAGCCAGAGGAGAGGGATCGGACAACTTTTGTAGTTTGGCAGGGATCCTCTCCTCTGGCTGGAAATAATGTGTCAAATGGTCAATATTGGTCTGCAGCTTCTTTGCACCCTTACCAACAATGGCCTTTTTCCCCTCTAGTTCAATGATTATATAGGGTCCCAACCAGTCATCCTCCAGCTTTCCCCCTTTCCTTTGCTCCTGTCTCACGTTCCTCCGCAACACCTGATCCCCTACTTGGAAGTTGTCCTCCTGGCCCTTTCTAACTTTACTTTTGCAGACGTTGTCCTGGCTTCTTTTCATATTTAGTTTCACCTCTGTGAATACAGCCTCCTGTTTTTTCAAGCCTTCATGGATCTCCTCCGTTTCGACCAGGCTGCTGACTTTCTCTTCTTTGACCTGCAACAAATGACAGTTAGAATTTTAGAAGGCAGATGATCCAAATGAAAACGTTTGAAAAGGATGACAACATTAGAACATCTTACCAGGTACTCCTTTGGCACCTCTGAAGGATACCTAGCCTCCCTCCCATACATTAAGTAGTAGGGGCTGTATTTAGTGGTCAGCTGCTTTTTGGTCCGAAGAGCGAACATGGTGGACTGGAGCACCTGGTCCCAGCGTTTGGGGTGACCAGCCACCATTTTGTTCAACGACCTTAAAATGCAGAATTCAAGTATAGGTATGAGGAAGCAGGAGAGCATATGGGTTCTCATGTATGATAAACCAACATATCATTAGTCATTAGGAAATGTGTTTGTTATTCTATGAAGAGCGTGAATTCCATCAGATATTGAAAAGCAATACCTCTGAATAGTGCCATTTAATTTCTCCACAAGGCCA